CGAAACGGGAGCAGGTCGTGAGAGCGAGTCGGATGACTCTGGACCGTCTCACGGCTCACTGGAGGCCCGACGGGGGCGACGGCATCGTTTGTAGCGGCGCCATTGTCGCCCGCCGGAGCCGCCCTGACAGATACGGCCTGCTGTAGCGCTGTTATCTGCCTGTCTTGATTTCGCATATGCTGCCGCATTTCTTCCATGAATGCGAGCATAGCTGTCGGTTTCGCCTCCGTGATGGCGTCAGCTGGCGGCTGTGGTGAATCACTAGCCGGCGCGGGGTCAGAGGCCGACATGGCGTCGGAAAATTACAAAGTTACGTTATAAAAAAAGAATACTAACGGCACGGTACTGAGTCTCGCTGGACTAGGGACGCAGCGGACGAGCCCCCAATGTTACCGGTCGCGTGTTCTTTCCGGTTTCCAGCTCGAGAGTCTCGATTAACGGCAAAAACTGTATTGCCAATCACACGGCGACAACATCCCCCCGCGGGTTCCCAAGCTCGACTGCCTTCCCGCCGCGTCTCTCGCCGCGCCGCGTCGCGCGGCGTCGCCATGGCAACAGACAGTGGAGATGCAAACTCCGACACAAGATATCTATGGGCGCGCGGCGCAGGGCGGCTTGGCGACAAAGAACCAAACACGTTTACTCTGTTACAAGGTCATCAAAGGTCAATGACCCTGACCTGACCTTCACGTGACCTTGACACCCACCATAATGCATGGGACCACCATCATTTCACATGTTTGAACGTTTACAATCACAGAAAGACTGGAAACGAGCGGATAATAGCCGTTTTTTTCGAAGGGCTTCATCTAATTTGAACAAATCTGCACAAAATGTATACTTGATGGCCGTCGTGAAATACTCCTGAGCTGAATGTTCAAATTTTGTTCTCCTTTTCTTTTTAACCCTAGAACGCCTAGGGGGGGGGGGTTGTATCAACCCCCCCCCCTGAGGTTTTTTCGAAGTGCACGCTTAACGGCTTGTTGTAGCGGGCTGAAATTTTCAATACCCTATGGGGCAACCTTTGCGCATCTTTTGCCGAAAAAAATTGATCGGGTCATGTCAGGTCACGGAGTTATGACGTCATAAGAGGTACAGCCTCCGGCCGGATTTTCACAAACTGAGTGCCAACGCCCGAGGTTTCCTGCCGGTGGTACGGACATCGGTTGATGGATCGTGATGAAACTTCCCATGCATGTTGGGGCAAGTATTGGCTATCATATGGTATAAGGAATTTGACCGGGTCAGGTCAGGTCACGGAGCTATGACGTCACAAGAGGAACAGCGTCCGGTACTATTTTTGAAAAGCGCCCGAACCACTATTTTGCTAATTCTTGTCACCTCAATGGGAATATGCAGCAATATTAGCTTCTATAGGGAGCAAATGGACCTCCCAAATCCAAAAATACAATCAGATTTCAAAAATTTAAATTTTGATTTTTCGAATTTCTGCCGCCGACTGTGACCTTGCCGACTTCCGGCGCTCCCAACGCGCCATTTTTAGAGCTAGGGAAACGAAATACATACCAAACGATAGAGAATTGATCAAGGAACACGATAGTGAAGGTTTCAAGTCGATATCTCCCACCGTTTTGCCGCAAACGCCGCCGAAAGTTGAAAAAAGTCTATTTTTCCGAAAATTTGACCTTTGACCGGTCAAAAGTAGGTCAAATGTTGACCTAGGACCAAAAAATATACCACCAATCGCGAGATCTCGTTGAGAGCAATCCGTTGGTTTTTTCCTCTAAGCTCTACGACCTTCCGTTTCGAAACGCCAGGGGGGGTCGTAACAACCCCCCCCCCCCCCTGGTCGTTCGTGTTATGAGAAATGGCCTGGTCGTGCGAGGGTTAAATCAACTAGATTGAACAAGATTTTCATTGGACAAGATTGTTGACGGCCCTCCTGTGAAACAAGATTCGATGAATTCTTAAACTCCCTAGTTATTTTGTAACAACCCTAGGTTCGTTGCATACTAACTAGGGAGGTTGCAACGACCCTAGTTTCGTTACAACGTCCCGGAACGAGCAGTTATTTTGTAACGTCCCTAGGGTCGTTGCAAACAAACTGATCGTTCAGGGAGGTTACAACCACCCTAGGGTCGTTGCAAACTAACTGAAATCGCATACTCCCTGTAACATATATACAGTCGTCCTCAAAATTATTCATACCCTTGTTAATTTACGACATATTTTGCTTTTTTGATGAAAAGAAAACATTTTGTCGAGCTTATTTATGATTTATATATGACCAACAGGGGAATGAATAACAGCAACATACAACTGACAAAATATTCAGTTTCAGGTCTGTTTTATTCATGAATCTTTGAAAACACTCATGTTCAAAAATATTCATACCCTTGGTTTTCAGAGTTCAGTGTCTTTCTTCAGTAGTCGATAGCATATCCTTTGTTCCTTATTACTGCTTCTAGTCGGTTCCTGTAGGTGCTCACAAGCTTGCCACACGTTTCCTGTGGGATTTTGGCCCATTCTTCCCTGGCAAAAGCCTCCGACTGGGTCAGGCTAGTCGGTTTCCTGGCCGTCACTCGGGTCTTCAAGTCCCGCCATAGATTCTCTATGGGATTCAGATCAGGACTCTGACTAGGCCACTCGAGGACGCTGATATCATTGTCCTCGAACCATTCCTTGACTACTTTAGCCGTGTGTTTGGGATCATTGTCTTGCTGGAACTTCCAGTTGTTGCCGAGTTCCAGCTTCTCTGCAGATTCCTTCAGGTTTTCGTCCAGAATTTGGATATAGTCCTCCTTTCTCATGGTGCCCTGGATCCTGACGAGGTTTCCTGTGCCGCGGGAAGAGAAGCATCCCCACAACATGATGTTTCCGCCACCGTGCTTGACGGTTGGCACCGTGTTCTTGGGATTGTAGGCCTCTCCTTTACCCCTCCAAACATATGCAGCATCCATGTGCCCAAACAACTCCAACTTCGTCTCATCAGACCACAGGATGTTTGCCCAGAAGTTGGAATCTTGCTGCATATTGCCTCTAGCAAGGCTCACCTGGCCTTTGCTTGAGGCAATATGCAGCAAGATTCCAACTTCTGGGCAAACATCCTGTGGTCTGATGAGACGAAGTTGGAGTTGTTTGGGCACATGGATGCTGCATATGTTTGGAGGAGTAAAGGAGAGGCCTACAATCCCAAGAACACGGTGCCAACCGTCAAGCACGGTGGCGGAAACATCATGTTGTGGGGATGCTTCTCTTCCTGCGGCACAGGAAACCTCGTCAGGATCCAGGGCACCATGAGAAAGGAGGACTATATCCAAATTCTGGACGAAAACCTGAAGGAATCTGCAGAGAAGCTGGAACTCGGCAACAACTGGAAGTTCCAGCAAGACAATGATCCCAAACACACGGCTAAAGTAGTCAAGGAATGGTTCGAGGACAATGATATCAGCGTCCTCGAGTGGCCTAGTCAGAGTCTTGATCTGAATCCCATAGAGAATCTATGGCGGGACTTGAAGACCCGAGTGACGGCCAGGAAACCGACTAGCCTGACCCAGCTGGAGGCTTTCGCCAGGGAAGAATGGGCCAAAATCCCACAGGAAACGTGTGGCATGCTTGTGAGCACCTACAGGAACCGACTAGAAGCAGTAATAAGGAACAAAGGATATGCTATCGACTACCGAAGAAAGACACTGAACTATGAAAACCAAGGGTATGAATATTTTTGAACATGAGTGTTTTCAAAGATTCATGAATAAAACAGACCTGAAACTGAATATTTTGTCAGTTGTATGTTGCTGTTATTCATTCCACTGTTGGTCATATATAAATCATAAATAAGCTCGACAAAATGTTTTCTTTTCTTCAAAAAAGCAAAATATGTCGTAAATTAACCCTCGCCGGACCTATTGGTTTTCTACATACGCGCCGGCCGAGGGGGGGGGGGGGGGCGGGTACGATCCCCCCCTCGCCGTTTCGCCCCTGGTGGAGCTAGCGCGTCGCGGAAAAAACGAGCGTGTGCGCCGTTACGAGACGCAGAGATTGGTACCCGATTTTAAGGTCCTAGGTCAACCGGTGACCTCTGAGGTCAGGTCAAGTGCCCCAAGGTACGGTTCAGTTTTTGGTGAATAACTTCGCAAAAAACGGCCGCAGAGCGCCGATTTTGGCAGCATCGTGTTCGCCTCGCTCAGGCGCGTCGAATGATATACTTTTTGTCCGGGTCAGGTCAACTTGGGGTGTTGACCTCAGGTCAAGGTCAGGTCAGCACCCCCAGGTCACGAAGTTGGTCGAAAGAGGTCATGTCGCATATCATTCGATTCGGCAGGCCTTCCTGAGTCTATTGGTGGCTTTCCCGACTCGCTAGCTCAATTTGATCAAGAGTTATTGACGAAAAACTAATATGACCTTGATGACGTCATAAATGACGTCACGCAAGGTCAACATTGCAAAAGTGACGCATCTAACCTTGCAAGGAGTGCATCAAATCACGATTCTGTGTGCTTGAGATAGTTGGAGATCGCTCCCGGCGCCAGAATAGCAGTTTTCATTTTTCCCCATTGACTTATAATGGTGAGGTCACGAAAATGACCTGACCTCATATGACCTTTAGGAAAAATCCGAGATATACAAGTTGTGGGACTCATAATGGATACTAGATCCTGCAAGTTTCATTTCCCTGTGACATCTCCTCTAGCAGTGAGGGCGTAGCGAAGTTGCGACATCTGAAGACCGTGCAGAGGTTCACTTATGACGTCATAGGTCAGTGACCTGACCTGACCCAAAAATGCGGTTGGTGTCAAAAGATGCGGCTTGGATCAAAGGTCAGGTATGCCAAGTTTCAGCTCTCTATCGCCAGCGTGTTCGGAGCTATCGCGAAAAAACCCTATGGGGGGGGGGCGGCACCCGCCCCCCCCCCTCGGCCGGCGAGGGTTAACAAGGGTATGAATAATTTTGAGTATTATGTCTAGTTGGAGATATTGTCTGCCGACCTTGCCTTTGTCGAGAGGGGGATGGGGATCACCGATCTGAGCTGCTCTCACCTGTTTCGGCGGCTGCAGGGTGCTTATACACGACGAACAGATGCCGCTCACTGACGCCGCTGAAGAAGTTGCTGTCCCCGACGTGGCCGTTGATACGGTGGTGGGCGCGTGGGAGCGGTGGGTGCCTGCCCTCTCCGTGTCAGCAGATGTCCCAGTCGCCGCCGCCGAGCACGCTGGGGTCACTGGGCCTGGGCGAACTGCTATCGGCCGAACTGGGGCAGGGACAGATGTAGCCAGGGTCTTTACAGTCGCCAACAAGCCGGTATTCTGTCCAACTCCCGGGCTATTGCCAGCCCAGGGTGTCAGACCTGCGCCGTTTGGAGCGGGCTGAGCGGCAGTGCCCGCCCAAGAGAACAGACCATTCACTGCGGCCTGCGCGAACATCATCTGCGCCGCCAGTTGCGGGTTGTTGACGAAGCTGCCGCTCGTCTGGGACCTCGCCAAGTGTTGGCCTGCCGACAACTGAGAACTCGTCTCGAGATGGGCTGCTGGCCGCTTTTCCGTGTCTCGTTTGGTCGTTTTTCCTTGCCTTTCCGCTTTGTCGTTGTCGTGCCTTTTGTTTTGTCGCGTCACCCACCGGGGGAGGGGCGTAGAGAGAGGGGAGCAGCTCCACTCCTGTTCCGGCCGGTCCGGCATCGCTCCCACCGCCGCTGACCGCTCAGCTGTCAGCAGCAGCAGCAGCAGCAGCAGCAGCAGCAGCAGCAGCCGTCAGCAGCAGCAGCCCAGGGTAAACAAGCAGCAGCAGAGGTCACACACTATTTTGTCAGCCACTTTTCACCATGAAGTTCTATCACTTGTGTAAACCAAAAGTCAAGTGCACTGCTACAGTACGCCACGTGTTGTATCTCCACTCCTCACTTGCTCCTCACCACAGGTGCTGAACCCAAACTAAACAGGCACAGCACCGACCCCTCTCCGCCCCACGCGCGCCACTGACGGCGACCTCGGAGCTGCGGCCCCGACAGCCCAGCGCGCCCCCTCACAGCTCTCACTCAGCTGACGGGTCAGGGCGCCGCGCAGTGGCGTCTCCAGTGTCACGGCCAGGGGGGTCTTATCGCTGCTCACTGTGGTGCGTGGTCGACTGCCTTCTTACTGCGTGGACTTTCACTAGTCTGTTGGATGCACTGCATACAGAGTCTTCATAGTTGGCTGCACTTGAAGGTAGTTATTTTCACTACCAATCGTGAATACAATAATAATATTATGAGGATATGATTGATAATTACTTCTCAGATGAGCCAAGTAATTGATACTTCTCTACACAGTACCTACAAAATGCATAATATATTCACATAATGCTTACAAAAGTGTGGCCGGCAAAAGTCAGTTGGAGGTCTTTCTCTCAAAACTTTCGCACGTGGGCCCACTGTCTTGCTCGCTCGTTTGTCACCCCAAATGCGTTCTACATGACTGGTGTGTAGGTGATGTGCGTGATAACGAACAGCAGCAACAGCCTTGGATGCCACAGGGTGACATTTTGCCTATGGAGCCGAGACTGGGCTCAAGCGAGCCATTCACCGAATGGCCTTTGTCGCCCTTGTCCCAAAACCCATTTTATCCGTTTTCACAACGGAATAGCTAGCGGGTACCTAATAGATGCCTGTTTGGTCCGTTTATAACTCAGGAATTTTAGTAGTTCTTTACCCGCGCCATGCTGGACGGGGTTTTTACGCCCCCTCCTCACGTTTTTCGCGCATATCTAAAAAACGGCGGCGCAGAGCGCCGTTTTTTTTTTTTTTTTTGTTCTGTCCATGCATCATTCCCACACATCTCAGGTCATGTTCGGTCAACAGCAGTATTGTTCGCTATAACTTTTGATTGAGACGTGCTAGAGTGGTGTGAAAACACGCCAGATGTGTTCAGCTCGACAATACGGATCGACTGATATGCAACATGACCCTTTCCGGTCAGGTCGTGACCTTGACCTGTGGTCAAGGTGACCTGACCTTGACCTGTGGTCAAGGTGACCTGACCTTGACCTGTGGTCAAGGTCAAAAATTCAAGGTTTGTCAGAATATAGTTTAAAGCAAATGAATATTTTATTTTCGTTTAGTGCTCGCTGAATGTAAGGCATTTAAATCGTTTAAATGTTTTCGAATTACCTCCCTACAAAATTATACTTTTCATTCATGTATTTTTTGTTTTAGATGAATTTTTGGCCAGGACCATTATCTCATCGATGCCAAAATATAAGTATATTTGGGGACAAGACACAAATACAAATACAAATACAAATACAAATACATATACAAATACAAAACTACAATTTGTATTTTATATTCCAATATTTTTTGCATTCTTTTTATTCTTTTTCGTATTCCAATATTCTTATATTTTGGCATTGATGTGATCATCGCTCGTGGCCGAAAATTCATCTAAAACAAAAAACACATGAATGAAAAGCATCATTTTGTAAAGAGGTCATTCAAAAACAATTTAAAAATGCATATTTTATTGAAAGGCCTTTCTAAACACTAATCAACACGTATATTGCTATGTCTATGTGTGTATCAGGCTTCCTCATTACTGCGATGCGACTATTGAATTATAAATCCAATGATACCCTTCCTTAGGTACTTATTGTGACTGAAGTTCGTGTGATCACTGATGAATAGGGTTTGTATATTTATTTAAATTGTTGGTCTTCCAACGTGTACCCAAGTAACACAAAGTACCCGTGTACTAGGTACTCTGTCTTGGATTTGACGTTCTTTCGGACGTCGCTTATTGCATGTCGCCACATGGTCCAACATACGTTATTACGAGTAACGGCCCATTCTGCACTATACGTTTTTCTGCGTGCCCTTTATTTTGCGAGTTTACGTGTTTTGCCTAATATCGTTCTATAAAAAAGTTATAAATGATATAGCCTTGGCATTGTTATATACACAGGTTTATATAACTATTACCTATATAAATTAACCCAGCACCGCCTGGGCTATTTCCGTACGCACGACAGCCTGGGGGGGGGTCGGATTCGACCCCCCTGTTATCTCGAGAACCAATGGTCCTATCGAGGCCCGCGAGGCGGCGTTCGAAAGGTCTCTACGAGACCTTCCCAAAGTACTCTTAAGATTTTAAGATTGAGGTCAACTTTCGGGTCAAGGTCAGGTCAAAGGTCAAATTCTGGGATTTTGCATGATTAGGCTTAGGGACAGCGGAATCGATAGCTGCTGCTCAAAACTCACCAAAAATGACCTCAAAGACCTAGAAAAGGTACCATGTGCGTATAGGGGTCATACTAAGTACGGGTCAAGGTCAGGTCAGGTCACCAAAGGTCACGGTTTTCACTTTCTGCTACATGGGCGTGCGACACAGTTTTATGGCTTATTTTTTCACGCCAAATCCGATGGTAATGGTTATATGTGACCCCAAGTCACTGTGCTGGTAATAAGTGTACATTGAATGCATAAAAAACGTTTATACCAATACATAACTAAACGAGGGCTGAGAAAAAAGTCAAATTTTCATATTTTTATTTTTGACATAAAAATGCACTTTTCTAGACAAGCTTTGTCCCAGGAATCTAGTGGCGCCATTTGTTTTCACATGCGATGTTCAGAAGTGCCTCTAATTCACGAAAATGATTATGACGTTACCATGCCTTATGCATGTTGGAGCTATTTTTTTACAATTTGGGGGTCAAAAATCAAGATGGAAAGTTTAAATTTGGGACATTTAATGTTCTTATAGAGCTCTATAACACATATTCCGTTTTTTGGAAATTCTTTTTTGGATTTATTTGCTGTTTTCCAAAAATATAGTTTTTTTTTGAATTTTTGGGGGTGAAAAACGCATTTTATGGAACATCCGAGATAGCCATTTTAAAGAAGTCGTTAAGCTGCGTCTATTCATGTCATTAATTTGCAATTTGCTTTAAACCTTGATTTTTGGTGATTTTTTTTTTAATATTTACCACTTTTGACTGAAAACACCATGTAGTTACATCACTAAAATCAATATATCTCAAAAAGTTTTGGATTTTTTTTCTTACAAATTACACAGAAGACGTCAAATTAATGGGGGAGAAGGTATGCAAAGTTTCAAGTTGATAGCGTAAGCGGCTCATGAGTTATTCAAGAAAAACGGAGGGGGTCGGATCCGCCCCCCGCCCCCCCCCCAGGCGGTCGCGGGTTAACTATAATTTAACATTAAAACATATACAAAACGTAATATCGTTTTTTTTCTAGAACAATATTATGCAAACTGCGCAAATCCGCAAAAAAAAACACACGCAGAAAACGCATCGTGTAGCCAGGCCTTAACAGAGGCGTAAAATTTTTATCCGCCTATACTCCTTCTCTTTGTCCCTTTGCCGCAGGACATAACCAGCGACAAACACTGGTTACTTGTTTGTGTTAGTTGTAGGTACATAGTGTGTTCAGATATCTACTCTACTGTTTCAGCAATCCATCCTGGCTGTCGGTTAAGGCACACGAAAATTCGAAACAAAGTATTTATTTTCAAACATCACTTGCCAATGAACGCCTTTTTAGCATCAAAAGAAGTGTAAACATGCTATAACAACCTGTTACGAATTCAAGAGAAAATGCGTTTAAAACAGACAACCGCGAAAAGCCTGTGAATACCATACGATATGAAGAAAACGATTTTTTTTTGCCGCAAAAAAGTCAGACCATCAATTACGGAAATGCAATCACCTATTCGCAGTCCATAGATTATCTCAGTTCCTACAGACACTAGGGATCCATAGATACCGTACCTACAGATATCTACAAATCTCTAGTATCTACAGATACCACACCTCACACCTGCATCCGACCGATACTGCGTCTTACGGGTGCATCTCGCAGAGATACTGCGTCTTAAAGCTGCAGTCGACGTCGGCCCATTCCCCAACAGTGTAAACATCCATTGAGTTGACCCCGTTCACCGCCACGCAGAGCTCGTTCCTCTCCGGCGGACCGTTGGGCTCCACGCTGACAATTTGCTGCCAGTTGGCGTTGACCACCTGGGGTTTCCCTGGGCTGCTCCAGCGCAGAACTCCGTCCGAGCCCGGCGTGGATCGCAGGGCGACCCAGAACGCCACACTGTCCTTCACCACCCGGGAGTCCGCGGGCAGCTCGAAGTCGATGACTGCCAGACGAGAGGACGGGATGGTGGAAGCACAGGCGTCCCTCGCTGCCTGCCAGCTCTTGAAGTCATCTATAGAGGAGAGTCGGAAGCAGCGGCCGTTCAGAAGTTCCCAGCCCTCTGCGCATGCGCCGTCCTGTGAATGAGCAGACCAGTTAAGATACCGGCGAGATAGCTAAGAGTATGGAAACTACACCTTTTTTCCTTCAGTTTTAAGAAGTTGAAGCTCAGGTTGAAAACGGATGCACCTCCGTTTGAAAAAGATGCCATTCAAATTGGATTACATTTTTTTCTAATTAAAACGCATCTTTTAAAAATTGAACTTCAGCTTTTTCAAACAGAGGCCTGTTTCACTAAAAACTTGCGATTACAAGTGTTTGAACTTTACAATTCATAAGTATTTTTGCAAACTATGTAAAATCGGGTTTCACTAAACTTCATCACCAGCGGCACCTCCGATAAAAAGAGTTGGTAAATAAACTTGTAAACAATAAAATTGTTTTTAATCAAGAACTTCACCATGTTACAGATATTGCTTCTTTTTATCAAACTATGTCTAGTTTTCATGTCAGAAATTACAGGAATAAGTTAAAAATAATGATGCTGTTTCTGAGTGGTATAAATGATAGTTCACAATATCTTATTATTGAATGAAAATAACACGTAAAAACATTTGACAGCAGAAGACTGTTGAATGCAATTATGGCGCGCAAATGACAAAACATGACGATATTCATTTATTGCTCGTAGCTGGTTCGTAGGGAATGTGCTAAGTGAAAAAGAGCATATAATGACTCAGCATATCATATTTGTTTTAAATAATTGATTGCTTTGCATCATTGCACAAAAAGTATCAAAATTCCGAACGTCAGGACCACTGGAATTTCAGGTTTGTAATTGCGATGTTTTCTTTCAAGTTTCTGGTCTTCGTGAAACAGAAAGTTTGCGATTCCCGTGTTTTCTAGCAAACTTTTTCTTGTAAAAAAGTTTGCAAATTTTAAACTCAAAATTCATGGCCGAAGGTTTCGTGAAATCCAAATTTCAAATGTTGGTAATGATTTCTTTTAAACTCAAGTTTTTTCTTTGTAATTACACACTTTATTTGTTAGTGAAACAGGCCTCTGAGGTCAGTAGCTGCGGAACACCTTCAATTTAAGGGGGGCACTGCCGATTTTTGGTCCCATTCTTGCCATGCAACGCCCATAGGGCTCATAATGTTAAAATGCCAAAATCAAAGGGGGGCATGGTGTCCCGGTGCCCTCCCCGTTCCTCCGCCTATGACAGAGGCCTGTTTCACTAACAAATATAGCTTGCAATTACAAAAAAAAACTTGAGTGTACAAGTAAAGATTAACAACATTTGACTTTTGGACTTCACGATACCTCCGACCATGAATTTGAGTTTACAATTTACGAACCTCTTACAGGATATGTTATTGAGTGCTCTCGCGAGTAACTTCTTGTAATATTATAGAATGATTGTTACTGACCTTTTCCTCGAATATATGTTAAATGTCGAATATGATGTATTAGAGTTGAGTGAATTTTCGCCCACAGAGCATCGTCAGACAGGCAATCAGCCCTGTGGGCGAAAATTCACGACAATCCTGAAACAGACTCTTTCCGCAGTCAAAAAATCGCAGGCGAGAGCTTATTCAAATACATGGAAGCACGCTCTCAATCGCACGCACCTCCCGCATGCAATTGATGCGGGAAGAATGATAATGTATTTGAATAGGCTCTCGCATGCGATTTCCTGAATGCAGGAAGAGTCTGTTTCAGCCTTAACCCCGCCGGGTCCGGGGGGAGGGGGGGGTTGATGCAACCCCCATACGGTTTTTCGCAAGTCACCAGGTCACCAAAACCGGTACAATGTCAGGGTAAAATTGGACTATAATAGCGGCAACGGAATCGCTTGGTTTATCGTTTATAGCGTAAAAACCATTAGACTTAGCGGCACCAAAATTCAGACACAACTTGGGGCATCCATTTGACATATGATTTTGGAGTTTTGTGTTGCAGTGGCCTCGGGTCAGGTCACAAGGTCACAAAAAAACGGTACATAGAAGCCGTTTTCACGACCACTTTCTATGCAAAAAGTTTAGGTGTCCTCTAGCCGGCTGGGATTTTCTCATACTTACGGTATACTGTTGCACCGTAGAAGCTGCCCACTGCCCAGCTTTGAACGTATCTTTATCACATCCAAACTACCCTCTCGCTTTCTTCAATTTATTTTATCATCTTTTTATGTTCTTGATTTCCTTTTTGGGGATTATATTAGTTCTTGACCCCCCCCCCCCATTGCATGTGTTCCTATTACCTTGTGACTTTGTTCTTACCTTGAACCCCCTATCATTCTATGTCTTTCTCCCACCTTGTAGCCCTCCCTCCTCCTCCTGTTCTAGCCGTCTCTCACCTCCTGTTCAGTCTCGCAGACATAGGACAGGGTGCTGTCGCAGTGCGTATCGGCCCAGACGCCCGGCGGCTGAAATTCGGTTCCTGCACCGGCTCCCGACATGAGGACACAGTCGTCGTTGGAGCTAGCAGCGCCGTCGGGCTCCTGAGCCTTGATGACCTCCCAGTTGGTATAATCGATGTCAGTCTCAAACTCCGTGTCCTGGTTCCACTTGGTGTACGGCGAGCGAAGGCCGATCCAGTAATAGGAGCCCTTTCGGATGTCGCTCTGCTTGGAAAGGAAGGCCTTGTTGTCGTAGGTGATGGCCGCGAGGTGAGCGCCCTCATGCTGGCTCTGACACCCGGTGGCGTTGGCGCCGTCCCAGTTCAGCGCTTTGTCCGTGACGAGTTTGTAACAGGTGCCGCGGTGGGGGCCCACCCATCCTGAGGGGCAGTCCTGATGGCGCGGCTGAGGAGAGGGAAGAGGGGAATGTGCGTGACAAATTAGCGACACTGTGCACACTTTGGGATCGTAGCACAATGAAAACGAACACTGACGCTTACTTCAGAATGTGTGGCTTCAGCAAGGTAACTATACAGATACAGAAACTATGGTATACCATAATTATCTGCCCAAAGTTACACCATGCGCCAAGGACAAGTTTTTACAGGTGCAGGCCTTACCTCGATGTCTTCATTTTGTACCAAGCGAAAGGTCCCGGCGTGCTTTGAAGCTCTTCCAGATCGAAATGTTATGCCTGTTCCGAAAGAGACCGCAACCAATAAAAAGAGTAAATGACAGAAAAGCTGAGCCGCCATGCTGCGAACGTGGCACTAGCTGACTTTGTGCAAGCGACTAGCCTTAGTGGTGATGATCTATCCAAAGCTCGGTTTATGTACGCGAAGGTTCAAGGCGCCATTCTACATGGCGACTCGCTATTGGCTGGTGGAAGTGAGAGAGCACGTGCCACGTTTGCGTTCGATAGGCGCCAGCCAGTGACCACATGTGAAAACATAGAAGAGCTAGGTACGTGTGCCGATAGTTGACACACGTGAACTTCGTGATTAAACAAAAACACACGAGAACTTCAAATGTGGAGTCGGATAGCGAGGGCGAGGGCATGACCGGCGTATCAACATCGGTCTCGCAACAGATCGGGGATGTCAAATTCAGAGCGCTTGAACTGGAAAACTACATAGAAGCCAAGTGCAAACCATCTCCATACAATTTACCGAAGAGTTACCGGGTATATGGAAACATCACAGCTTTTACCGAATTCAAGGCAGGTGAACCCTTGCCGGGTCTGCCTTTTTCTTGTGTACATACATGGGTGATTTTTTTACTTGTTAAAAAGTAATGAGGTTTAGTGGCGTTAAAATGCAAATACATATTGTAAAATTATATACCAGCATGACGAGCATTCTGGGACATTTTGATTTCATGCAGACACGATGTGAAGGAACGTCCATCGTGTATTTTACTTGTGCTTGAAGTTACCCCCTCTCTCACCGACACGAATCAGCCCGCCTGAGCATATGTTAAACAGCACCATGGACTCCCATACTCATTAGGCGGACTGAAAAGGCTCCTATCACCCATTTTCAGCTCTGCCAGATATTTCCAATGTTTTCTTGTTATATCTGCCATACCTGGGTCCAAAAACTAGAAGTCTAGAAAGGGCAGGTCGAGGATTTTGCTACTGGCGGCCCTGGTGGTGTCTGATTCGCTGTTTTTGTTTCTCCCTGAAGACTGATTCTTCAGAGGCTGCACATACGCCAGATGGACCGTTTGAAGGTTATTTATGAATACAAGCTCGTTCGTGCATTATTTAACGTCTTTCTGAGGTATCTCCTTGATGATCGTATGCTTCGAACTGCCTCAATGCTTCAAAATCATCGTTTTGTGTCGTTCCTTACTGAACGGCGGTGGACCATGCGTGCCCGATTGGTGGGACATTTTCAGGCTCCATTGGGGCCGAGGCCTTCGGTTAAAAGGGACAAATCATGACACCATACAAAATGTCCCAGATTCATCTATCACGTGCATTGCTTTTTTGCACAAGATTTTTCGATTTAGGGACTACCATTGACGTTTACTTTTTAACAGTTAAAAAAATCACCCTGTATAAGCCCTAGCCGAAAGGGGAGGACACAAGCTTTTGGCATTTCACTCCTAGTTATCCTGCGCGCCGCTGCAGCGGGGCGAGGACATTGCGCCGATGCATCGGCACAATGTTTTGCTCCCACACCTGTACCTTCCGGTTCAGAGCCCGAAGTCCTGGACCAGGCCGCTGCCAGGCTCCCGCTGCTGAGGCCGGCAATGCTCTTGATTGCCACACCCAGCCTCCGAAGCAGCCCTACTGGGCTCTAAAGGAGCCCTAAGCTAGTTTCCGAGTTCCCCAAACGGACCCCCGCCACCATCTGAACGTCTCATACACTGAGAAAATTTAAAAACGGGGTGGGGTGTTTTTGCAGTGTATGGTGAGTGTCAGACACTTTTAAATGTGTACTGTGACACTTATTACAGTGTCATGAAGCCTGTCATACACGGTTAAAGGTGTCAAACGCTCCCTGAACACCCATTATTTATAAAAAAAACTCCCTTTGGTATGCAGAATAACCACTTACCCAGTTAACGGCGTTCAATTTTTTTTTCAGTGTATCGACCGTTGAGGACAACTCCCGTCTCCCAATTACTGATTCTGACGGCAAACGCAGATAGTCATTTTGCAGGCCTTCAATGATCTTTATCGGCCTCAAAGACTCCATTCCAGCCTATGAAGGTCCTATCAGTGTCCAGGGGCCAATGCCAGTCAATGAGGGCCCATGTCGACCTTTGGTACCCCCCCCCCCGCTACGCAGTTGTTTGGGTTCTTTGAAGGTTCACATGAGTTTTTAGGGTGCCTATGAAGGTTTCAGAGACCCCAACCGTGACAGTGACATGGATTCGCATTGACCGGTGGGTGCCAATTCAGATGCCAAATGTCAGCGTAATCCCTCAAGCAATTGCCGAGTTATTGTAATGGGAATAAACTTGACACCTCTTCATTTTGCATTTAGCACCTGCAGTAGAGGTCACCCACATGCATCGAGAGTAGTCCGGATGCTTGGTAAAAGGGATGCAACTACTCAGGCCCATGTCACTGCACTTTTGATGACATGCTAAGGGGGCCTCGCCATCAGGACGATAATGGCGCGGTGCGCCACAATCGCTTCCAAGCTACTTGCCAACAGCTGCCATTTTTGAAAATATTATTTGGAAATAAAGTTACAAATATTCTTTTTTGTAATTAAGTTGTTAAACCTTATCTAAAACCTCACTGAAAAATGATTTCTTCATAGTAAAAATATACGCTGGTTGCATTTTTACGCTCTTTTCCTGCTACTGCAGAGGGTTTTTAAATCGCATATTTCTTCGAACCGGCCATTTCTTAGCATATTGCTATTTTCTTGTCGCTAGAAAATTAATTGGGCTTTCCATTGACATCAACGGCTGAGCGGTATGTGTAGAGTGCCATCTGAACTCTTGAGAGCAATTGCCGTAATCAATGTTTTGCGTCGAAATCGTCCGAACATGACGTCACTATGACGTCATTTCCGGACGACCTATGGCAGCTACGAAGTTCATATTTTGACACAAGGTGTCAAATTGATGCAGCCAAAGGTACCAAATAGTAAAAAAAAAAAATAGCCTCACTCTCATTCTTCCCAAAAGTAAAATCCGGATTCGAAATAAAACAACTTAAAAAACAACTTTTAAAAACCGGATTCGAAACACTTTTATTTCGAATCCGGAATTTATCATACTATCAATATTATAATAGTACTGTAACATTAACTGCTTGAATCTATGTAGATCTGACTCCACGTATGTACTTCCAGATTGTATTAGATGTCCTCGCAGGGCAATCTTATCGGATGTCTGAGAGGGATGTCTGGCGAAGTTCCTTCTCGAGCTTCTTTCGAGTAAAATAAAAGCACTTTTAGTTATTAATTCATTACAGCCAATACAAGCTATTGAAAGTAAATATCACACACTTGTCACACACGCATAAAAGCGCCTCCCGCATTCTACGTTTACAAAAACAGACGTAATAAAACAAGTAATGAAACACACAAACATCATTGCATAATGCCATTCTTACAGCCACAAGCGACGATCATATTATTTACACTTTTCTTCAAGCACTTCAAAATCATTTCTGAAGCGAGGTTTCAAAAAAGCCTCTCTCAAGCTCTTGAGGGTGTTACGCATCGTGGCTAGCGTCAACAGCAGCGAAACAAAGGTTGACAGGGCGAGAACAGCAGATAATGCCAGAAGAGCCGCTGGATAGAAGAATTCGAGACCAACAGGCGAGCTTATCGGCAACTCTGGAAACAAAATGATTGAGCCAAGGTAGGTCGACATGCATCATTGTTTTTCTGTTAGCTTTTCATGCAAAAGGTCGTCAACTGATTGTTCTGTTACCCTATTTTTATGTTATATATGCGTCGGAACTCGAACATATACGTTCAAGTAATACAATTTACTTATCTAAGTATTACTGCGGTAATAATGTGTGTGACATTACAATGCCGTTCATAGCACTGACAGTTTTATATGGGTAGGTACCTACCTAACTGCAGTTGCACAATGCTATAAAGAGGGCGCAGTGCGTTACGGGAGCTCTATGTATATGCCTACATTCCCGCAGCGGTGTCCCACCACCCAGAACTGTACCTACCTTCCCCCACGGCGTGTGCCACCACCCGGAAGTGGGACTGGCGGCTGCTACTCAGCGCTGCTGGCTCCGAATCTACGCTGCGCCTCACTCGTGTAGAGGTGCCGGGCCCACAGACCGGCTGCGAATGGATACAGTTAGTGGCACGGACAATAGTCGCGTTTACATAACATTTTTGACGAGGCTCTAGTCTAGGTCATTTATTTTGCGATAATTTCGATGCAGTGATCTTTGCATATTTAGAGGGGATAATTTTGTAAATTGTAACGCACCATCGCCATTTTTTGCAACATAATGGGCGGAGCTATAAGCTTGCAACAATCCCTATGTAAACGGGGCTAATGTTAGGGGCATCACCAGTCACCTGCATTAGGGAACGTTGGCTGATCCGTATTCCGTACTTAATAATGGAAAATGATTAGGTACGAGAAGCTTCAAAATAAAAACCGAATAATCTCAACGTTATAGTTCGCTTAAGACCAATGCATCATAAAAACATTCATTCTTTCATCACTACGTGAAAACTATTTTTTTTTTGCATGCGCTAATTCAGAAAAGAAAGCAAAGCAACCCAATTTCTAAGCAACAATCAAGTGTGAGCCGTGCATTGGAAAGCTAGACGTCTACTTTGAGGCAAAAAAAAAGCCACAAAAAAACTGCGATATCTCACTGGTCTACAGTCGGGCTCGTAGTATCTGCAGGCGGCAATCCGGACTGTGACCCTGATCAGGTCATCCGAGGTCACTCCCTGGAAGGAGAATGCCCGGAACGAGAACCGGACCACCAGAGGATCATTCTCAAACCACGAAGGGTTCTCAGGTGCCAGTAGCTGGAAAAGATTAGGGGCAGGTAATGCATCTTGTGTGTTCTTGCTGCTGATCTGCAAGGCACATGAATAAGTGAGGAATAACTTTCAGCAAATTCTCCAACGAAGGTTACGGGTATGTAGCATGCACCATGCAGAAGGATGAAACGTTTTTTCCTACACGAAAAATATGTTATAATTGTATGCATAATTTTCCCCTTGCTAGTGAATACATTGACCTCTGAATGAACAGCACCAGGCAATATGTTTAGTGCAGGCCCATGGCATGGCAGGTCAAACAACTTTCAACGCTATCGACCGTGTTTGCATCGACGTGGGCGGCAGCTCCACGGTACCTTGTACTCTCGGTTGGCACACCCGTCGCTGAGCACCAGCGGTACAATGTCGCTGGGTTGTACCTCGCCATCGGGCGGTACACGCTCCAGTACCAGTCCCGTCAGACGGCTGTACCGCCAGCCTGCCGAAAACGCAGTCAGGGCCGCTGTAAGACTCGATAATATCGAGCATGGAGAGAGGCGCAAAAATCACAAAGAGGTTCTTAAAACCCATTTACGCCCTTCGTTGCGTTTTCGCAACACAAGCAAGCGTCGACGTGATCAAATCTTGAGAAGCGTGTAATGGCGTCTTACCGATGAGACAAGTTTCAGCGCGTTTAGTATGGTTGTGCGCATGATGCTACGCAGTTACAAGTCTGTGCGGCCGGTAACTTACCGTCCAGAGCTCCCAGAGGGAAGTCGAAGGTCCCGTCAGTGATGACGTCACGAAAACCAAAATAAGTAGATTAAGTGATTAATTATATCGTAATGAATAATGTGTGAACATATTCTGCAGAGTCCCTACAATAGCTAGAATATGCATTTTATTAACAAATTATGCTGCAAATAGGGTTTGTGACTATTTTCAAATATGACTACAGTCGTGTTGCGGTAACGCAACGTTGGGCACATCGGAAAGACAGGGGTGTTGCGAAAACGCAACGAGGGGCAAATTGGCAGTGCAGCGGAAGTATAGGAACATCAAATAGACTTCACTTGTGGTACGCTGTGGGTTCTTTCCTTCTCTCTCCAATCTTCCTCCCTCTCTTCCACGCTTCCCCAACTCTCTCTCCTTCCCTCCCTCTCTCCCTCCCTACCCCCCTCTCTCTCTCTCTCTCTCTCTCTCTCTCTCTCTCTCTCTCTCTCGTTTTGTAGTCGTGAGGGACGTGTAGGTATGTAAAGTGCAAGGTGCATTTGCACGTGAATGTTGCGACACGTTTCACATTAACTCACTTAAACAGCTATCAAACACTCATTTCTTTTTCTCTCGCAGATTATCAGGCTGTTCACTAACTGCAATGGGTTTTCGAGCATCTGAAAATCGCATGGTAGGAAAAGGACCTGCATCAAACGGTCGGCGATGCTAACGGAGCTGAGAGATAGCGAGGTACTTTGAAAATTGGATCTACTATGTACTAAATAATGGGGACGTAGTCTGGTATCAGACGACAGATAGACATTGTCATTCTCTGGATACAATCCGCTGACCCTTACGTTAGAAAAGATAACTCCCAAGTCCCAGAGTCGGTAAATGTGGGATATGCCCCCTCGGGGGGGGGGGGGGGGCAACAGACCCCTTTGGCAGGGGTGATGAGGGCGTATGGGAAAATAATAGTTTATTTTTAGAATTCATGGTTTGCACGGATTGATAAAGTGGTTGCCGTTGATGTGAAGCATTGCTTGTTTGTTTACTGAGGGTAGGCCTGTCTAATCAGACCATTTTAGATCTAGAAGCGTTATTGGAAATAGGGAAAACATTGGTCTGAGCGGGCATGGTGAATCGTCGAGGCTGAGCCCATCCATCCAGACCACCCATGAACCAGCCCCACCCCCCTTCCCAAGCACTTACTGCATCCGGCTACAGACCTGTGCTCCTATGGGAGCTGCTCGAATGCGATATAGTTGCCCGTCCAGCTCGAAACAGGGGTTGAGGCATGGAGGAGAAGGATTCTACTATCCTGAAGATGGAAAGGACGGATTAACGGAACACTTGGAAAGTGTGAACTGCGTCGAATCAATGGTCTGCCCTGGCATTGTCTCGAGAGAGAGGTTACAAGTGAAGGTAGCTGAGAGTGGGACAATGACAATTTTGTATTAGGTGTAAAAGTGATAAAATGGGTCCTGGGAGACACTTAAAGCCGAGTTGTTATGACGCGCTACGCCTTACGCGGGTAATTTGTGAAAGCCGGATAGGTTCTTTTTTTTTGCTAAGAGTAGGCATGACTACCCTGCATTTGAATTTAACTTTACTCCTAGGAGGGTGGTTTACAATGGTATTGCGGATAGGCGCTTAGGCGAGGCACAGATTGACTCCCAATCCTCGGTTAAATTGTTTTATGTTTGGGGTTCTCATATGAGAGGGTAATGGGCTAATGGCTCTGTCTAGCTTCCAAAAAGAAAGCACCGCCCAGGGTACGTGCCAACCACTAGGTACTTTAGATGGACAATGGTTGTTGATAATGACCGTTTGTTGCCATCTCCCCGTTCGCGAACCTTTAAGTTATGCTCCCTCATTGAGGCTCTTAGGCGGGTAATAAGGCATGAGGGATGTGGGTTCCGCATTCTCCAGCAATATTTGTCAACAGTTGGTGAATTATATGTTAAAACAAACTAGCATATACGGCGGTTTAGTGTACTTTATGTCCGTCTGATGTGCCCTTCGTTGCGTTTTCGCAACGCTGATGGCGCCCGGTGTGCCCTTCGTTGCGATTTCGCAACGCACGTTTTTTACGTTTTTCTCGAAAAACTTTTGCTGCCGGCAAAAATTATTTTCGATTCCATGCAAGGCCCTGGTAGAAGCGTAACATATCTTGATTTCATCGATTTTCATGATGGTCAATATTCCTGGGCATAAATGGGTTAATTATGTTGTGTCTCTGGCAAAGTGAGATCGAAGCTTACTGATTACCAACCTGCCGTTCCTCTTGCCCCAAAGTCTGAAGTTTCTACGTTATGTATTCAGAGTACCTATAGGATCGGGGATAAGAGATTCGCTCCACTCACCGTCTCTGTCTCTGACGGTCGTTCTCAGTTCCATCTCGTCGCCCAGGTGCACGCTGTCGTAACCGGTGTGGACCGGTGTGAACCGGAACTGGCCCCGACCGCGGTGCAGTAGCTGAACGTCAAATTCGGGGAGGCCGGACTCGGAGGCCTCCGTCGCCCCAGAGTAGGACGCTATTGGTAAGCGGTCCAGCCTGGCATGGGAGCACGAGAGAGAGAGAGAGAGAGAGAGAGAGAGAGAGAGAGAGAGAGAGAGAGAGAGAGAGAGAGAGAGAGAGAGAGAGAGAGAGAGAGAGAGAGAGAGAGAGAGAGAGAGAGAGAGAGAGAGAGAGAGAGAGAGAGAGAGAGAGAGAGAGAGAGAGAGAGAGAGAGAGAGAGAGAGACAGAGACAGAGACAGAGACAGAGACAGAGACAGAGAGAGACAGAGACAGAGACAGAGAGACAGAGAGACAGAGACAGAGACAGAGACAGAGACAGAGACAGAGACAGAGACAGAGACAGAGACAGAGACAGAGACAGAGATAGAGACAGAGACAGAGACAGAGACAGAGACAGAGACAGAGACAGAGACAGAGACAGAGACAGAGACAGAGACAGAGACAGAGACAGAGACAGAGAGAGAGAAAAAAGAGAGAGCGCATCATCAGTATCTAGCCAACTCGTGAGCTGGAGCAATTCTATTTAGATTGCAAATGATTACGCATGCACAATTTACTGGGTACGCAGCATTTGCGGTATTTAGCTGGACCCAGGCAGTCAAATTTTGTCGGGGCCTTACACCTGCGACAAACATGTCTGCTCTACGGCAACAAGTTCCACGCAGTCGGCAGTGTGTGTACAATACATACATCGTCCGGGCCCTTGCAGCCACCGCCAATTTTGAGTAGATTTATACAATAAACGTTTACATCCGATCTAAAGCCTACTAGCTCGCTCTCAGCCAATCATCTAGCTTTCTCTCAACGTCAGACGCTGCCGGTATACCTCGGCGCCTGCAGGGTGAGCTGCTTCTCGAGGGCGTGTCTGCGCTCTTTGGGCAGACAGCGGAGCCGGACCACGCTATCCTCCAGAAGACGCAGACCAGCCAGTCTCGGGAACCGCACAGTGACGCAGAGCCAGCGCTGCGAGCGGCAGAACAGTCGGGTAAATCCATTGTCAGGTGCGGTCAGAATAGAAAATACACCAACTTCGTTTATCCTACTTCACACGATCTTCGCCGTTCATGGAAGCCGGCTTCATTCACTAAAAATCTGTCATTCAGCCATGAGCCACTCCATACCCACCTGTCCTTTTATCGCCTTTCCCTCGCCTCTCTGTCACCTCTCCCTTACGTCTCTCTCGCCTCTTCGTTGCTTCTCCCTTTCCTCTCCCTCCACCTATCACATCTCTCCTTCGCCTGTCCTTACACTCACTCACTCACCCTCCACCTTTTCACTCTCTCAAATCTCCTTTCATACACCCTCACTCCTCACTCATTGCCTCTCCCCTCACACTCTCTCTCCCTCCTCACCTCTCCCTTCACACACTCCTCCACTCCGCAGGCCCCAAACTCCCTGACGGTCAGCCTCAGCGACGGCCAGTCTCCCACGGCTGATTTCAGCGAGCACCGCGCTGATGTCAGCAGGTTAATGTCGGGCCGCTGGTCGATCAGCGGCGGCGCGATCGGTGCTCCGTCCATCAGCAGGGTGGCGGTCAGCAGCTCCTCGCTCGCTGACCGGATGCAGCTGATGTCTGACGGACGACGGAGCACCAGGGAGAGCACGTCAGAATGTGACTAAGTCCACAGGATTACACTGAGGATGTGGGTAGTGGGTGCCACCAGGGAGAGCACGTCAGAATGGGACTCAAGTCCACAGGAATGGGACTCACCCACTACCCACTGGGGATGTGGGTAGTGGGAGCCTGTAACACATAGGTAGCAGGCACTCTATGTCTTTGTGAGATATGATATTTCCAGCATCAAGTGTTCTGTGTAATACAAATGCGTTTATGCCCCTATGGCAGAGGTGTATGTCTCTTCGTGCCGAGTTCTGTCTCCAATTCGGACTCAGCTATTAACCCGCGACCTGGTGGGGGGGGGGGCTATTTTTTGCCCCCCCCCCTCCAGACTTTTCTATATATCTCCAGAACCGCTGCGCTGATCGTCACCAAACTTTCAGTACCCTCCCGGACATCAATTTTACACATTGTGACCAATTTTTTTTTTCAAAGGCTATGATAGGTTGGCCGGAAATGACGACAGAGTGACGTCATGTTCTGCCGTTTTCGACCCAAAAAAGGGTTTCGCGGGAAGAGCTGTCAGGCCTATAGCTTTGCAAATACAGAAAAATGATAAGACATAAAAGCTGTAGAATGTACAGGGCTACAAAACTGCTATCTCAGATTTTTGAAATTTTTGGATTTTGACCCCAAAAAATCAAAAAATATTTTTTTTTTTTATATAATAATCGAAAAATCCAAAAAAATTTTGAATTTCGCAAAAACCGGAATATATGTGATAGTCCTTACCGCCTTCCATCCACATACCAAATTTGAGATTGATAACTCTTTTCTGGCGAAGTTATAGCGAAAAACTGTTCAAAATTGATGACGTTAAATTTTCAAACTCAATTTTTAGCAATTCTAGACCCCGTAGCGCAAAACAAAGACCACCATTAGACTCCCCGTGACGAGCTGCATCGAATCAATACCCATTTTATGCAAAACTATCAACTTTAAAATTTGACCTTTTTTGGCCTGACCTTGACCTGACCTTGACCTGCACTTCACCAAAAAGTGACCTAAGCCGTACCTGATAGTCTTATAACCAACACCATTGAGTTGGAAATGAAAAATTGGCCATAAAACATGCATCACACAACCTTAGTAAAGTTGGGCTCATGTGACCTGACCCGTGACCCTTGGTGACCTGACCTGTGACCTGACCTGGTATTGTCAGTGACCTCTAATAGCAACATATCTACTAGGCAACTGACGCCCTATCGCTGATTCTCGACAAAATGCGTTTTCCTCGGTGTTATAGCGCATTCCCTAGAAGACCCGTGAACGGTGAAACATTTCATCTTTGACCTGACCTGTGACGTCATCGGTGACCCGAGGTCAATGAAATTTGGTTTCCTTCGACAAATTTGACAGGCCTTTCGAACGCCGTTTGAATTTTGCGGATCCGTCCAGTAGTGTCGGAGATACGAGGGGGGGGGGGGGCAAAAAATAGCCCCCCCCCCCACCAGGTCGCGTTATAAACAGACCCCACCAGGGCGCGGGTTAAGCGGTTCACATGAGCTGATAAAGTCAGCTGGAAGACAGCCCAGCATGTGTGACTTCTAAAAAGCTGTAACTTGAGCTAACCATCACCTAGTGACCTGCGCTATAGTTGGCGTAGATAATGGGTCATACCATACCTGCAGCCCGCACGCTGTGTGCCGCCGGTGCCGGGAGTGTAGAGCCTGGTCCCGGCGGCGCAGGTGGCGCTATGGTCGGCGGTGCAGGTGGCGCTGCCGTCGGCGGAGCTGGCGGTGCCGGACGCGTCCCGGGAGGGCTGGGCGGGCCCGTGGGCGGGGCCGGAGGGAGACGTCGGGCAGTCTGGGGAACGCGGTGCTGGCCCACCCTGCAGCTACATTCGTAAGGGTGAGGTCGGCAGGTGCACGGGTACGCCCCCTGAGCCGCTCTTCTACTCCGCCTCGTCTCGAACTCCGGCGGAAGCAGCGCCCGAGCGGCGCCGGTCGCCGAAAGGGTGGCTCCCGGCGGCGGCGCTGGTGGGCCCAGCACCAGACCGGGAGGCGGCGCTGGCGGTCCTATAGGGAGGGTCTCTATGGGGGGAGCGGGCGGCCGGACCGGGACAGCGCTGGGAGCTGTCGGTGCAGGTACAGTACCTCCTGGAGGGGCTGGAAACACCGCCCGCGGCCGCCGCCAGCCCTGCGGTAAAACGGCGGAGTAGCACGTCAAAAACTGAGGTGCAGTAGCCTTAGCCACATTGAAAGCGAAATTGATTACAGAGTTTTTGTGAGTTGTTACTCTACCGATCGATATTCATCTCTAGGGAGAGGTTTATCTATGCATAAATAATGTATAAACAACGTTTACGTAAATATTATGTCATACTGTTTCCGTCATTAATAATGTTTATTTTGTGCAGCACTCATTAGTGCAGTGCTCACCTGTCCATATTTCGTTGACAGCGACTGGGAAGGCTGCCATGTTGGTGATCCGATGACGTAAGTATCCGGAAAATAAATCACCAAATGCAGACACTAAAAAAATCAGCATGCCATCAGTCTCGAAATATGTGATGCCTAAATTGGAAGCTTAAATGGTTCAAAAAGGCGAGCTTGTGCCTTTATGAATGCCTGATGCCTTTATGAATAAGAAAATAATAGATATATCTCAACTATACTAACCAAATAGACGATTTCAATTTTCATATATCTAACGTATACGTAGAACGGTAAAACATAACTTAGCGTATGAAAAGGTTTTCTTTGGAACGTCGCCAATGGTACAATTTGGGTACAATAGCGATTTGTAAAAATCGCAAAAAAAACATGGGCGGCAACTAGCAGGACGCAGCACATTTATCGCATATAAGCAGTGCACCATGAACATTGAGCAACTCTGTCGTAATGCTCTCACTCAATGGTCTCAAACCTCAAAGGTCGCTGACCTCTGCCATAGCTGCGACAACGGAACAGCCGGGCGCGATAGTGGCCCCCTTCCTGTGTTCCAAGTCCGCCCTCGCTTCCCCGGTATACGGCGGCGGGCCGAGACTCGGAGGTGTGCTTACGCCAAACAATGACCTCCGGTGGGAGTCCGACACTCACGACACGACCGAATGGTATCAGATCGGCGTCCGCAGCTCATTATCATCGAACACGTGGTGGATAATACTGATCACAGTGGCGGATAACACCGACCACTGTGGTGGGTCACAGCGACCAAACGGCGGATAGTGGAGGCAAAGAGCACAATGGCATCACGGGATGATACCATCCCAGGGATCACTCAAAGGTTATCGCCGTTTACCATGATAAATTCCTATTGATTTCCATGAGCAGTAAGCAGGATGCCCTCAATGGGTGTTCGCTGGTCCCCCACCAACATACATCTCTGCCTTTCCACAGCACATGCTGTGAACACGTCTGCATGCAAAGACTTCATCAACAAGCAACTATTTATGCACTCAGTGTCATCGCTCTGCCAGCGATAATCCCCCAAAGGCGAGCAATGTCGTCTGGAAACAACGCCAGCCTTCTGTGTTCGGTCGGAACTGGTTCATATTCAACACACGCCGTGGCGCCGGCCCAGACTGAGAACTCCCTCTGCGCAGGAGCATGCAGCCGCAGGGCGGATGTCACACCCGGGAACTCATGCGCGGTCACAGCGGTGCGCGCTTGTTTAGTGACGTGGTCCGACGTGGTAGCTGGGGGCCAGCCAGCGCGGTGGGGCCGCAGTGAGACGTATTTCAAACGCACATTTACATAGGATGGCGGTCAGCTACGCGTCTTATAAGGGAGCGCGCATAAGCTTCTGATTCGTATTTATTGGAGCCAAGGTGGTCAACGAGCTCGCTCTGTGACGATTCACTGAAGCCTGTTTTGATAAAAGCTCCAAAAGATATCCGAAAACGTTTAATAATTGTAAAATGTCGATATTCGCGAAGTGTATGCCCGTAATTTATCAATTTCGCCTCACTTTCGGCACTTTTCCATGATTCATTTGCACCACTAATGCCCCATGGCTAATGCCCCATGGAAACGATAAATAAACAGTGCAAATGGATTTGCATTAACTTTCAGATAATTTTCTAGCAATGTGATTCAATGTGTTTGTCTGTGACTCTTCATTAAGCTTACTTGCAGGGGCGTCGCCACGGATTTTTGACTGGGGGGGACGGATTGGCTGACTAAAAACCCAAAAGCTAGTTACCGTACAATTTCAGGCCTATGCACTACTTATAACGCATACACAATACACATGTTCTCATGTTCTCGCGTGGAGGCGTTATTAGTCACACTCTTTTCTATCTGTGCATGAATTGGCGGCGCGAAGCGCCGCGAAAATTGGCAAAAACTCTTGGCAAAACAGTCCCAAAACGCATAAATTTTGCATCCCGAGTAATAAGTTTGATACCAGGACAGTTAGGATCTGGTCACCAAGTCCAGCAGCCCTGCCTCTAAAAAATCGTGTGGTCCTCTGTCAACCATAGGTACAGCTTATTTCCAAGAAGTTTGAAACTCTGTGCAGTGTAGCTGCAGGACCGCGGGGTCGGAGTCGACTTCGGTCGTAGTCGACGGTTTTGGTCGGATACGGAGTTGGAGTCACCAAAGTCGTACCAGACTTCAACTCTGAAGTCAGAGTCAACGTCATCCCCGAGGATGGGTCGGATAAAAGCTGGAGATTCTGTTGGCTGTGGTGATTGAAGGCCGGGTCATGGTAAGACCAATGTAGGACCATACTGAGTATTACATCCTCCTGGGCTCTCTCAGACCAGGACGAGGTCCTCTCACCCTCAAGCATCAAGCGTTCAAAGGACATGGTGAGACCTTCTGCTGTCGGATGGCCTTGAACGGGAAGAGGGCCGTTTGAGAGTGAGCTGAAGGTCTTGACTATTACGAATATCCTACATAAAATGTGTGGTCTTTGCAAGCTTGAGACTTTGGGACAGATCTTCAGCCCTTGTTGAATATGGTCGCCCCTACAACTGGAGCTTTGGCTCCCTATCGAGGACCTGGGACGGACAGTCCAGAGCTGCACCTCGTAGGTAATGTTATCTTTTAACGTGCCAAGAAATGTTCAAAGAGACAAAAGCATCACATCACATGTTTTTCACTCCGATGCGGGCCGAGGGATGCCGTGATCGGAGATGGGGTGGGGACTCCGAGCGATTTTTTAAAAGCCGGAGTCAGAGCTACCAAAATCAATCTACTCCGCAGCCCTGCAAGCAAGTGCAGTGTCAGCAATTCGCATGATTCAATTTGTATACGAGTAGGTATCCGCAATTTCATCCCAAAACGACAATACACCAATTTCGTTGATCACTTTTTTAATCATTCATGAGGATATTTTTGCGGGGGACGTCCCCCCCGGATTCCTCGACTGGGGGGGACGCGTCCCCCCCCGTCCCCCCCGGTTTCGACGCCCATGCTTACTTGCGAAGGCTGCACTGCTTCAATGCACTCAATGAATAATTTGCTTTTGATTTAGCCAATTCCGCTGAGAAAACGGTAGCTCAGTATCGCGACCCATATGAACACTAACAGCATCACAATGAATCACCAGGTACAGTAGAATCTGCGACAGCATCATTGGAGCCAAACGGGTGACGGCCACCGTTCGCGCTCTCGCCTTTTATGACACCACTTCCCAGGGCAGCACTGTAGCCGGTGGTAGCACCGTTCCGCTCTCCTCGGCAACCTCCTCTAAAGTCGCGGCTCTGACGACCTTTTGCTGCCGTCATCAAGTGCTGATGAGCCATTGCCGGCACTGCATTCCGATTGGCTGCCGGTCTCAGCAGTCTGACCAATCACCGATCAGAGCGATCGGTTGTTGAACTCAAACTCCAGAGGCTTAGCTGTCCATCTCCATAGTACTGGATACAATAGTGTTCAGATCTCAGAAGCTGCTGCGGGATGCAAAGGAGGTATTGAAATGAACCAATCAGATAGCACATCTCATGTTCATAACTGACATGCTGTGAATAACTGCTAAATGAACTGAGAGCTAAACCCAGGTAAGTGTAAAATATCGCACAGGCGATCCATGAAAACCGGCGTCTTTTCAAGTATCAATTCAAATTGTATTCGAACGCTCAGAAGAAATCCAGTTTTGTGCTGAAAAAAGATCACCGAAAATGGCCGCAGGGCACCGATTTAAGCACGTATAGAACGATATACGTTTTGTTTGGGTGAGATAAACATAGGGTAGTGGCTTCAGGTCAATGTCAATTTAAACTTCAGTCACTCAAAATTTCTAGGTCATGAAGTTGATCCAACGAAGTTATGCAGCATATCATTCCATTCAAAAGGTCTTTCTGAGCATATCGGTAGCTTCGCGACTCGTTATCTCGATCTGAATTTTCATCTGAATTATAATTGATGAAAATCTCTGGTGACTTTATTGACGTCATATATGAAATAATGGACGTCATATATTGCGTCACGCAAAGTCAACAATGCTAAATTTAAGCATTGGACCTTTCCAAAGTAGCGTATGTAATCAATATTTAAGGTGCTTTCGATACCCTTAGTTCATTTTTGGCCCCAAAATAGCAATTTTCATATTCCTCATTGACATATAATAGTGGTGAGATCACGTGACTCAAATGACCTCATATGACCTTTATGGAAAATTCGAGATATAGGTAGCAGTTCCGAGTGCTCGTAACTCGGAAGCTTACTATTTACTAAGCTTTTTTGAAGATCATCTGGTTTTGAGGGCATTGCGAACATACGACATTTTATCACCGTGCAGAGGTTCACTTATGTCATAGGTCAATGACCTGATCGAACTTGACCTGACCAGAAAATGCGATTGGCTTCACAATATCCTGCTAAAAACAAAGATAAGGTGTGTGAATTTTAAGTTCAACAAGTCCAGGACGTTCTGAGCCACTTCGAATAAAAACATCTGAGGTGTACCCTTACCACCCGCTTCTCCCTGCCGGCCAAGGAGATTTGAGGGTCCAAACTCCAAACTTGATCTTTCATGAATGGCTGGAATAAAATGATCTAATTGAGATTCAGCGTCAGCTTCATCCGGATTTGGTCGATCTCTGACCGCCGGAAAATCCCTCCACTCACAGTCACTCCCACACCCACACCCACTCACAGACACTCACAGACACTCTCACACTCACGCACTTACCAAGGTGACAATGCACGTGAAATGCTCCACTCAACGGGTCGAGAGGTGATGATGAGCCCCTCGGTTCCCGACGCGTCTATCTGAGGTCTTGTCGCGTCATCGTTGCTGGTTCAGTGGCCTTAGAGCCACAGCATATTCACCGGCAGTGGCTTATGTGTGACATTGTGACATTGAGGCTACCCCCTGACAGGTCAATAGGCTACGGTGATGGCCAGGTTCCTTGTGTAATGAAATAAACTTATCACTTAGATATACGGCTATCCACCTTTGGCTTCCTAAGAGGGCCCAACACTTCCTGGGTCAAAGGGGTGGTGAGAGACGTACCATTTCTATTTATTTAAACCTTTTGTCAAAAGGTAAACCTTATCTCGTAAACCTCTTGTTTGTTTGTTTGTTTGCGGATGCCATTTCCAATCCCGACTGGATTTACCGGGTGGCCCAGAAAAAAACGTTCCGAACATTGGAGGCCCATATATCAAATACGAGTACAAATAACGAGCCAAAATTCTTATCAAGTTTGCGTCATTTTTTTGCGCATTGGTATGCCAAATTATAACACTATACCATCATTTTCAAGCTGGCAATCTTGAGTTGAATTAAGCAAGACGCTTTTTTTGCCGATGTCAAACGATAGTGATGATTGGGTTAGACATCCCATGTTATAAAAAAGAATAAAAAATAGAGCAGGTGAATGAAGCCAACACGTATGTTCTTATCTAAAATATTTTTGTCTCACTTATGTGCCAAATATTCAAATACTGAGCCAAAATAGTGCTCATGGATGTCATTCGTTTCAACACCAAATCATGTTTCGAGGAGGAGTGGCACGGTGCATGGATTACTGCTGATTACCCTCTGTTAATTGTTATAAACTTAAAATCTCTTTTGAGGCCGATGCATTGTATTTAAAAGGTATGCCCCGTCAAAATTAAAAACAAAAAACACAATGCCTACATTTTTAGACAACAACAACTTTCTTTCGTTTTGTTCTACATTTCGAAATAAGATAAAACACGTGCTGCACGAACTCGGTAGCCTAGGGAGCCACCATATCGACAATACCCTATTATCTATAATACATGTAAGCTTTGTTCGTAACAGCCTCCCCATAATTCGACCCAGCTCCGTTTACGAATTATCACTTCGACATCGAACAAAGCATGCACGCAGGCAAACAAACATGGACATTTAAAAGACCATTGTCACTAGATGCTTTGATAGGACTTGCATCAACCGCCTGAGCTGCGCGTGTTTTACTTCCGTCCGTTGGCAGTCTTCCAGCAGGCACAGACGGACAGTTGGACGTGCGTACCTACATCCCGCTGACCGCCTCGATTTCGCCGGTCCCATAAATCGGGTGGACAGCTCGCCTCCCCGCTGCAACATAGCGGGCAGCCATCTCTGCCGGCGGTCGCTGTCCTCTGTTGCGTCATCTGTGAGGGCGGCACGTGAGTATCGGGCGGTTTGGCGTCCGGTCGGCTCCAGTACAGACCCGTGTCGTGATGCCTGCCTCTCACTAGATCGGTTTCGAGCAGCCGGGGCGCCGCCTCCTCCAGTACCAACTTCCCCGGCAGCGAGCTGAACTGGATTTCGTCTGGTTCCGTCGTCAGGAGCTGTCCCACCGGAGCGCGCAGAGCGTCATCACCTGGTGCACGGACATGGTGAACCAGCAGCGTGTCATCTCGGTGGAGCGCCGGCAGCCGGCCGGTGGCTATCCATCCTAGCCGCGTGCGCACCGCGGACGGGCTCCCCGGTGGGCCCTCTCGGACCTCTCGTGGCACGATCAGACCGAATACATCGGCTCCGAGCAGGACTTCAACTACCTCCGAGGTCGCTTCGCAGAGGTCGATGTCTGCCAGATGTGGCCACTTCAACTTCTCCAGCGGCCAGTTCACCGCCCGTCCGGATACGTTCAGCGTTGGAGTTGCTTGTGCGTTCGTCACTTCGTAGAGCTCGCCTGACCCCATAGGCTGCACGCTAAACGTAACTCGTCGTGACGGCCTGGCCGTGATGCGATCGACCGTAGCGATCCGCAGTGGCTGTACTGGCCCTGTCAGTCCCAACTGACCCGCCAGCTTCTCCGTTACCAGCGATATCTGGCTTCCCAGATCTAACAGGGCATTCACCCGGCGGCTACCTCCCGGCCCGTGAGCAGTTACCGGCACCACCTGCAGGATCAGCTGGGTCCTGCCGGCTGCCGGCGCTCCGTCAGCTCCGGTGACGGTCTGTGTGCCCACAACGGTCGTCAAGTTAGATGTAAGTGAATCCTAATCTATAATCTAAGATTCGGAATCAGGTGAGCCCCTACGATTTGGACCAAACTTGGTCAGTGGATAGTACGTAACGTCCTGATTACGATGCACCCAAAATCTAAGCTCGGCCCGCCATATTTACGAAGTTACGGATGTTTGAATTTCAAGGTCATTCGGGAGAGCCCCTACGATTTCCGTCAAAATTTGTGTATGGACACTCTAGATGCTCCTCATTACGAATATCACAAAATTTAAGCTCGGCCCGCCATATTTACGAAGTTACGGAGGTTTGAATTTCAAGGTCATTTGGGTGAGCCCCTACGATTTCCGTCAAAATTTGTGTACGGATACTCCAGACGCTCCTCATTACGAATATCGCAAAATTTAAGCTCGGCCCGCCATATTTACGAAGTTACGGCGTTGGGAATGTATTAATTCCGTGGACAATTTAGAGTTCCCGCCTGAATTTCATGGACATTATGGGATTCATGGACATCGTCATGTCCACGAATTTATTTCTGTAGTTTCGCTTCGCTCCGTGGACAATGGTTTGCATGACGTATGGACAGACTTTTCATGGACATGATGTCGTGTCCATAAATTCACACCTATTTTAGCCCGCTCAAAGATGTCATAGCTTTTTTTAACACCACGTGGCGCCCCAATCGACCGAGTATGTTACTCTGCCTCTGATTGGTCAGCTTGTGCAAGGTCGTTTTTGATTGGTTGTTGAAGTCGTGTCCACGCAGTGCTCTTGTTCTGCTAACTTTGTCCATGCAATGTTAGGAATATTTACAAATTTTGTGACGTCATAGCAGACAGCTGGCTTATTGTTCGCGAAACGACATGTGGGAGACGTTGAGACGACGCCGGCCATGCGCCATTTCAATTTCAGTTATTGTGCAAGGCCGAGTTTCTTAGTGTTTTTTGACACAGCATTGGTGTATGTTGAAGTCGGCATTTTCGCTGGAGTGAAGATTAGTGAGTTTTGATTTCGTTGGAGAGGAATATGAAAAGAAAGGTAAGTTGTGAACTTGCACATCTGTATGATCTCAATATTGGGGGCAAAGTGATAGGTAACGCAACAGAAATGTCCAGGCCAGCTACCCACCAGGCTGAAACAAATGGGCTGCAAGAAGGAAAATAGTTGAAAATACCCATTCACCTGGTAGTGTCTGTACTGTTGGTAGTGTTGATGGTAGTGTTTTGACAGGATTTTGGCAGAAAATGTTGCTAGAACAATGGATGAATACCATTCGTACCTATGATGCGATTGAAGGGATGGTACCTAAACCAGCAGGCAATGTAGGTCAGAAGTTAGGTAATTTAATTACAGACATTTTCAAATGCCTAGGTTTCAACTTTCCTTGATACCCTGTTTTGGGCAACAAGAACATGCCTGGTGTGCGGACAGACATGGAACGGGGGCGGCGAAGGCAGTTGCTCCCCAACTTTGAAAGCGGGGGGGGGGGGGGGGAGCAATGATCACCAACTTGGGCAAAAAATAAATAATTTGCTGGTAGAAAGTCAATGAAAAATCTAGAAGTTTTCAGAATTTGTCTCAAAATGCAAATTGTCACACCCATGGGAACAGCGATGCAGCTGGGCGCTGGCCCTCCGACTTTGAAAGCACGGGGCAGTGCACTCCCAACTTCAAGAGAACATTTGGTAGTTGATGTTGAAATTGTCAAAGTTTGGGTGGTGTACCTGTGTTTTCACACATTCCTCTGCTGGTAACGAGTGACCTTGCCTGCCGTCTGCACCTGTACTCAACATTTTTCCGAGTAGACTGTTTATCATTGTCTTGGTGACCACACTTTCAACTAACTTGAAAATCGTTCTTATGTCACTGTGTGCAGAAAACACCTTGTGCCCGCGACTCGATATTATTTGGTTGCGGTGATCGTCGTCGTGGCGGCGGCGAGAGTCGGCGCGGCGCTGGGCGAGAGTCGGCGCGGAGCTGGGCGCCGCCGTAAGCGTATTTACAAATTGCAACCGAGCTCCGCCGTAGGGTATTTTATTTCCGCCGTAGTGTATTTCACTTGGGGTATTTTCTACCATACATCTGCCTGAGCTTGGGGTAATTGCAATTTGTCGGCGACGTTCAAAAATGATGCACCTTTTTTCGCAGTATAGGTTATCGCATGTGCATATTTTTGCCTTTTTGGTTGCGCTTTTCCCTCGCCCGTATAGAAGGAGGCGTTGAACGGACCACATCGGTTTTTCGTTAGTAACTCAAGTAAAAACTGTCCGATCGCGACGAAACTTTCAATACCCCCGATTTTATCAATTTTACACCTACCCTGAAAATTTCATGACCGTGACCCAAATGACATTTGACCTGTGACCTATTTCTCGAGACCATGTTTGGCCCGAATCGCGATTCGGCGTATGTCGGCTCGCATTAGCCGCGCGTTTGCAGTCTTTACGTGGTTTCAAGCGTTGAAACATGTGATATGATGCTGGTCCTCTGCATGAGGGTGGGTGTCAAGGTCACCTGAAGGTCAGGTCAGCTCAATGACCTTTGTTGACCTCGGTTCACTTTTTCGAGTTTCACATGTTTCTAGGCTAGTTTTTGGAGCTGATTTCGAATTTAGCAACCATTTGAACATTACAGGGGGTGTAACGAAATTATCGGGCACCTTTCTTCCCGCTGTAATTAAAAAGCAAAACATTCTGGTACTTTTTCTTTTAACTGAGCATGTAGCCACCTTTCATAAAAACACAGTGGCGAATGTTCTGGAGCATTTCAGCCACTGGATTCTCCAGCACACTGGCTTTGATGCGGACCAACGCCGTCTAAAGCTGTGCCTGCGGTTGGGCGGTGCTTGTGGCGGGCGTCTCTTCAGTCACCTGCTGAACAAGAGCCCACAGTTTTCGATTGAATTGGGATCGCGACTTTTTCCAAGTCATAAGCGTTAGCCCAGAATAATTGAAGGTTCTATCGGCATCACTGCCCGTTCTTTTAGGGACTTTTAAGTAGCACGCCGCGCATGAAGACAGCGTGGCTTGAATCAGGCATCAGTGCGCGTTCAGAAACCGAGCCCTCCTATACCGTCTGGTTGAGCGGCTCCAACCATTCATTGGCCAGTATGTTGCTCCCGTAATGCTTGACGTTGATGGCGGTATTATGTGACACTGTCCTATTGGAGCATCGCTAGGCAGCTGAACATGCTCCAGTTCTGGATATTGTCCGGATGTTTGACGGCGGCAAAGGCCAGCAAGTTCGAGCGGCTGGGCGCCCATACATGTCCGATTTGACGGTTCAAAGGATAATACAGCTCGAACGGCTACCCATCCAACCAGACCACCTCACCATTATCTTTGTTCAACCAGTGGACGCGATCTGGCGTGAGGCGAAAGGTGGTGAACTGGTTGTTTTCCCCGTCAGTTTCGTTGTCTTTTTCGGTTTGAAGGGCACTAGAACCAAGTTAAAGGGCGGGTAGCGGTAAACCATGATATGGGACTCTTATTATCTGACTTGGTAAGAATTCGAGTCAATTTGCGGATTGATTGGTGGCATTTCCTTGCCGCTATCTTGACTCTCCTCACCACTTGACAAAGGGCGGCTTTTGTGGTCACGACCGGGCTGAGTCTGCTATCGAAGTCCCAGCTTACCACGCCTCAGGCAGATGTGCAATTGGCTGCTGCTGATGTCCAGCTGCTGGCAGACCAGCTTCTGGCTCATGACGCCGTGGGTGCCGCCATGCAATTTTACCACGAAAGGAGAGATTGTATCCCTTTCTCGCAACTGGCTTGGACAAAAACTACCATGTGAACCCGTCTGTGAATCGACTCCTAGTCAGAGCAACAGTCACATGACAAGGTCAGGTCACTGCTGAGTTAAAAACCGATAGCAGAGGCACGTATTCATCCAGTATTCCCACTTCTAACATCAGAAAGGATTAGGAAACTGCGAACAGATATGGCGAAAAAATAGATGTGGCCGGATAATTTCGTTACACTCTGTAGGTACTGAAGTAGTTTTAGTGCCTTCGTAACATGTTACGAAGCTGTCAGAGAAAAAATAGCGTTATGCCCCTCCAACTTTTGCTTATTTGTAGAACTTCGTTGCTTAGTAAACCACCATGTTGTTCGCATTGAGGAGCTTTGAAATGTATGTATAATTCAAAATGTTCTGTAATTAAAAGAATTGATTCAGTGTTGCACATAATCTGAACCATAATCTGAGTTGCACCGAGCATTGCAGGTTTGACGGCTTTTTGCCCCACCACCTTCCCTGGAAAAGCTCCACCCTTGCCTATGGGGCAAAACATAAGGGACAAAAACACAAAACAAGACAGATAAAAAACAAAACAAAATGAACTCATTACCTAATGAAGTTCATTCTGGAGCAAAAACATAGGTAATAATAGGTATCTATGTCAAATTAGAATGAAAGATTAAAATCAGCCTGACCAGGCCTTACGGTCTGACCTGGTCCTAACCGTCTTACTTCACCTAACTTAGCCCAATTCAACCTAACCTATCACAACACCTGCTGCAGAGGTACCTTCCTGGAAAAATGATGCCCAGGGACAGGGAGGTGTCCAACTTATTGGAATATTACCATGATTGCTTGTCAAAATGTGAGTCATCATGCTCTTGTTTGACGAGTGATGTATAATAAATGTGACATTCAAAAATGGTCTCCTGACTGTTGACTGTTGAGTGATCAGAATATTCAAATAATCAGGGTACAATGTTGTGCATCATAGTGCACACTAATAATGTTGTTTTTGTGTAGGCCCTCCGCACATTATTGTGTACACTGCTATGTAAGGAAAAAAAGTGACTGGTGGTGCATGACAAAGGGTTGAGCAACTGTGAAGTTCATGCCCTTGGTCTTGCTGGTGCCAAATGCCTATAGCTATAGCAGGATCAGTGAGGGTTGTAGACATGCTACATACACTGTGCATTGAAGATATTTGCACAAAGTTCATCCATAATTACTATGCTTAACACCTAATGTAAGAAGCAACATAAATGCCCAGATGATACGGCTCTCTGGTCAACATCACACAAATTTATTGACATACTTTGCAGGTACATATTTACATTCATAGCAAATAGGTACTTTCGATTTGATTCAAAAACTAGGTGCTAGTAGGAGCGTGCATTTTTGTAGGCACAACAATAACCATATATTAAATCATTAAAAACCTTCTCGTGGCATTCATCACATACCTTTTTACCCAACAAGTACCTATCTAGGTACCATGCAATGATTCTAAATTTTGTCCGCAATCCACCTATATCTCAACTGACACATCAAAATTGAAATACCCTAACAAAACCTAGAACTGTACATAAGAAGAATGCAATACTACAAGAACTATGAAGTTCTGAAGTTGTTCTCACATGCCGGAATGTAGATACTCTACTTTTTGTTTTGTCATCCATTTCCACGTTTGATTGAGCCATCATATAACTGTTTTTGCTCTTCAGTCATGAGCTTTTATACAAATCTTGAATTTTTAAACATCATCTTGAACCATGCTCCAGTCTTTCCAACAAGGTACTATGGAACATCAAAACAATTTTGATTTGTTACAACAGCTTCAGATCATGATAGGCTTGAAGTTTGTTACACCATTTGCCAGACAAACCTCTACAAAATGTGTATCAATTCCCAAACTAAGCAATTGATTATATCATTATTTGCAGTTTCCACACAATGTTTCATAATATTATTCGATTTTTATAGCAAGAAACTCAAATAATCCACAAATTGTTATTGAAACACTCCCACTTCAAGAGCTCACAGCAATAACAATACAAGTTCAGAAGCAAACAAACATTGCGCCAGATTTCGTATGAAACGCGCCATCATCCCGAAGTTTCTACCACAGACGGTAGTTCAACCGCAGCCGTAGTGCGAAAACTGGCGAAAACCCCTGCCCACCTTACCCCACGGCGGAGCTCGGTTGCAATTTGTAAATACGCCCGCCGTAATGGGTGATGCCCGATACTGATACACGTGGACCGCGCCAGACAGAAAGAGAGGAAAGAGTATGTTATGATTTAATTGATATTTATGGTTCAGTTATGACCTAAATAATGTATTGTTGTGTTACTGCATTCTTTTGTTACTGATTTATATTTATTTATCGTAACTTTGGCTGTGATATTTAGTGTGCTTTTTATGAATGAGCGCCATGATTGTAGTATCTCATGTGTTTACTCGACTGATTGTGTTATTTTTGTGTATTTTCAGTTTTTACGTAACCACCATTGGGCGAACATTAGAATATACCTGTAGGCAGCACTGAATCTTCTTTTGTGAGCCAGAACAGTAAAAATCTTCCTCTCTTTTGCGTGGTAGTAAAAATCTTCCTCTCTTTTGCGTGGCAGTAAAGGTCTCTTTCTCCTGCGTGGCACAGTGAAATGTTTCTTTCTTGTGGCTCAGTAAAATAGTGAAAAGTAGATTGAATGACAATGACTTTCCATGATGGATGTGCCACATTACTTTGTAGATAGAATATGCCATTCCACAATGCAACTCGTAGATTCTACCTACCTATGTTTCGTAGATTTGGTGTAGTTGATATCTCATGATAATACTGCCCATACTAACTTCATGAATTGAATCCATACATTTTCATCCTTGCCCAATTTACAACTGTCCTGAGTTCTCAACCCGCATTGTTACCATGGCTGATTCGGAGAAGGGTACTGATGACTGTGGGCCAGAGACGAGGTCATCACATGAATTGCGGCTGACTGAGAAAGGTAGAGAGTACCAAACCACCATGAAGGTCAAAGTGTTTAAGCAGGTGTTGGGAAAACTGGAAAAGGAAGGCACGTCCCTGGTTGATGACCTTACAAGCCAAGATGACGATGAGCAGGATGAAGAAAAAATGACCAAGAGGATTGCCAAATGGAGGCACAACTACGTGATGCTTCGTCAGACCCATGAAGATCTGCGCTCCTTGTTGGGAGCTGAATTTGAAGCTCACAGATTGATGTATGATGACAGACTCACCAAACTGGACACCACAAGAGCAATGATTGAGTCATTGACGCCACAAGAACTGACGTGCAAACAGAAGAAGAAGAGTCGGGGAGCACGCTCGTCGGTAACCCAGACAAGCAGATCATCTTCGAGTACTGACATGAAAGCCCAGCTTTTCATGATGAAGGTTCAAGAGAACACTCAGGCAGCTGAGACGAAAGCAAAAGCTGATGCACTGGAAGAAAGACAGGAATTGGAAAGGGAGATAAAGATCATGGAGTCCAAGATGCAAGAGCTGAAGTGGAAAGAAGAAAAGCATCAAATAGAAACAGAAAGAAGGATCCATAAAGCAAAAGAAGAGGTGATTGAAAGGATGGAGCAGCAAGTTGAATCGCTGATGATGTCACCAAGACAGCAGGCGGCTGACATGGAGATGGAGTCACATGGGACGAAACGGGTAGACACTGATGCACAACCTACTGACTGTCATGAAGCTGTTAATGACATGACTGATTATGCTGTGCCACCGCCTACTGTACCCATTTCCGCCCATTGTCAGGCTCCTGCCCCTGCTCACCCTCAGTCCACTGAGTCTGCTCCAACACAAGTTACTGCTGCTACTCTGGCTGACATTCTTTCCCTACAGGCGCAGAGATGTCAGCTACCTCCTACAGAACCAGGTGTGTTCAAAGGCGATCACACCACCTTCCGCATCTGGCTGAACGCCTTCGAGACGTACATTGAGACCAGATGCTCTTCATCCAGCGAAAGGCTACACTACCTGGGCTACTACACAGCTGGAGAAGCAAGGAACGCGATCACTGGCTTCCTGCAGATGGGAACGGCTGATGCCTACCAGCAAGCCAAGAAGCGCCTCACCGACAGGTATGGCAATGCATTTGTCACCATGAATGAGATGAAGAGGCGCCTTCAGAGATGGCCAGATGTGCGAGCTGGTGATAGTAAGTCATTCACTGAGCTTTCAGACTATCTAGAGCTTTGTCTGGCCAGTTCGAATGCAATGGGTGATGTGAAGATGTTCGGTGGTCCATCAGAGATTGATGCCATCCTCAAGAAGTTGCCCAGATACCTGTCTGACAGCTGGAGAAGAATCGTTGACAGGTGGATCTATGAACCCGAAGAAGGTTCTGTCTCGCAGTACCCACCGTTCGCACACTTTGTGCAGTTCATGAGCAGAGAGGCCAGGGTGGCCTCTGGTCCAGTGCTACCCAGAAGTGGCGAGGAAGACAAGCGAGTGCAACCGAAGCAAAGAAATGCACGAGTTCTCCTCACTTCTGCACCAACCGATCAGAAGCCTCAAGACAGCAGAGCAGGCGGCCGGGTGAATCAGCAGCACCACTGTGTGGCATGCAAGAATGATCATCCGCTGGACCGTTGCTCGACATTCACCAAGATGTCCCTGAAGGGCAGACAGGAGCTGGTCCGACAGCATGGTCTCTGCGGAGGGTGCCTAAGGAAGGGGCACAGATGGAAGGAGTGTCGAAGGAAACAGCGATGCACAAAGTGTAGCAGGCTGCACCCTACCCTGCTCCATGACGATTCTCTTTCCCTCAGAGTGGACAAGACAACAACCCAAGGCACCCAGACTAGTGCTGCGGTATCCCTCCATGTGTCCTGTGACAAGGTAGCTGAGTCTCCCAAGTGTACTCACTCCATGCTGGTACCTGTGAACCTGACACACCGAGATCTTCCCCACAGAAGCATGACCGTGTACGCACTGCTCGATCCTCAATCTGACACATGTTTTGTGAAAGAGTCTGTGCTACAGGAGTTGGATCTGCGCGGTGAGGACGTCACCCTCGAGGTGAGCACGATCGCAGGCAGGACCAGGACACAGAGCCAGGTCGTACATGGTCTGGTGGTGAAGGATCACAAGGGCGAGACAGAGTTCGAGCTACCTCCTACGTACTCCAAGGCGGACATCCCTGCCGAGCGCCAACTGATCCCGAGACGCGACACAACAGCTGAATGGCCCCATCTGCAGGAGGTGGCCGGACAGCTGCCGGAGTACGTCCCCGACGCTGAAGTGGGAATACTGATCGGCATCAACTGCCCCAGAGCTCTGAAGCCACTCGAAGTGGTCACCGGTGGCGACAATGACCCCTGGGCGATTCGCACCAGCCTCGGATGGAGTGTGATCGGATTCATGGGTCAGCCATCCAACGGTGCCGGTGCAGCGTGTCTCTACGTGACTGGTCGAGCCGAACAGGAGGGAGTTCGACACTTCGCGTTCCGAGTCCGTGCTCGTGAGGTACCTCCTGAGCAGCTGGCCAGACTCTTCGACTCTGACTTCACTTCACAGCCAGGGGGAACGATGGTGTCACAAGATGACCTGCAGTTCATCGAGATCATGAAGACAAGCATGCACCAGCGTCCAGACGGCCGCTTTGAAGCTCCCCTCCCCCTCAGGGATCAGAACATGTCTCTTCCAGACAACTTTCACCAGGCTCAGGCTCGACTTCAGTCCCTGAAGAGGAAGCTGTTGAAGGACAGCAGCTACAGGGAAGCCTACATCACGGCAATCAAAGACTTGTTGGATAAGGGCTATGCCGAGCCCGTCCCGCAAGCTGAACTGGAAGCTAATGACGGACGAGTGTGGTATGTTCCCCATCACGGCGTCGTCCAGCCGAAAAAAGGGAAACTACGAGTAGTCTTCGACTGCAGTGTGGAGTTTCGTGGACGATGTCTAAACCACGAGCTACTTCAAGGCCCAAACGTGTCAAACAACCTCGTCGGGATCCTGGCAAGATTCCGAAAGGAACCTGTGGCTCTGACATGTGACATAGAAGCCATGTTTAACCGCGTCGCGGTTACTGCAAGTGACAGGAACCTGCTCAGGTTCCTCTGGTGGCCAAGAGACGACGTCAACCAGGAAGCAGTCTGTTACAGGATGACGACACACCTCTTCGGAGCCGTCTCCTCACCCGCGTGCGCGATGCACGCACTGAATCTGACTGCCGAGCTCTATGAGCCCAAGTATGGGAAAGAAGCAGCCAACTTCGTCAAGAACGACTTCTACGTCGACGACGGACTGACTTCGACGCCAGATGCTGGTACTGCAGCGACTCTGATCGAGAAGACGACCGAGCTGTGCGCCGAAGGTGGGTTTAAACTCACGAAGTTCGCCTGCAACGACTTTGATGTCATGCAAACTGTCCCAATCTATTCGAGATCTAAGACGCTGGTGGGTTTGACGTTCGAGGAGAACTCCCAGGTGTGTGAACAGGCACTGGGTGTCAGATGGGACCTTGGTTCTGATACCATTCAGTTCCGAGCAGAGCTCCCTGATCGGCCTGCCACCAGGCGAGGCATCCTTTCAGGGGTGAGTTCCCTGTACGACCCACTTGGACTCATCTCGCCAGTGATTCTTAAAGGAAAGATGATCGTCAAGGAGCTCTGTGGACGTGATTGCTCCTGGGATGACCCGGTTCCCGAGGAGCTGAAGGAGCAGTGGCTGACTTGGAAGGCGGCGCTACCAGATCTGTCTAAAGTGAAGATCCCAAGACAGTACGGCTCGATACTCGACTCTGACGGCTCGCCTGCAACTTTCGAGCTTCATCACTTCTCTGATGCGTCCACAGCAGGATACGGAACCTGTAGCTACCTACGCGTCATCAAGGATGGTGAAGTGTCCTCGGATCTCGTGCTGTCGAAGGCCAGGGTGACGCCGAAGAAGACCGTCACAGTTCCACGCTTGGAACTCGCAGCAGCAGTGCTGGCGACAGAAGTCGGTGAGTTTCTGCAGCAAAATCTGAACATATCCCCGATCCAGCATCACTATTGGTGCGACAGTCGCGTGGTTCTTGGATACATACGGAACAACGTGCGCAGGTTTCATGTGTATGTGGCCAACAGAGTGCAGACGATCCTGAATCGCACGACACCGAGTCAGTGGCACTTTGTCCCATCAGAGCAGAACCCAAGTGATCTAGCCTCACGGGGCTGTCTGATCGAAGAGCTCATCGAAAACGACCTGTGGTGGCACGGCCCTCCATTCTTGTCGTGTCAAACGGATCTGCCTCTCGAAGATAACGAAGACGTTGTCGATCAACAAGATCCTGAAGTGAAGAAAGGAGTGACCATGATGGCGAGCAGTGAACCAGCCACAGAACACGCGACGCTGCTGCAACGGCTGGAACGCTTCTCGACTTGGTTTGCTGCCAAGACTGCGGTGGCGAACTGCCGAAGATACATAAGGAAACTCAAGGAAGCGTGCAGAAGAAGACGCGGTGAAGAGTGCAGTGAAATGACGAACGAACAATTGACGGTCCAAGATCTGGTCGAGGCTGAAACCGTGATCGTCAAGGCACTGCAAAAGGAAGCGTTTGCCGACGAACTGCGTCACCAAAGTGGAGCTGATGCCTCCATCAAGAAGTCGTGCACAGAAGATGGGAGTGGCCGAAGCAGCCATCCCGATCCGCGGGAGAAGAGCAGTCTGAAGAAGCTGGATCCTCTGACGAGAAGTGGAATTCTCTGCGTCGGAGGCAGAATCAGACGCGCAAACCTGCCAAGAGAAGTCACGAATCCAGTGATTCTCCCAAAGAAGAGCCATGTCGGTACATTGATCATTCGTCAGTGTCACGAGAGGACGGGACACGCAGGAAGAGAGATGACTCTCGGCGAACTTCGGCAGCAGGGCTACTGGATCCTGCACGGACGCTCTGCTGTCTCCAGTTACATCAACAGCTGCGTGACGTGCAGAAAGCTACGTGGTCCCCCCGGGGAACAGAAAATGGCTGATCTGCCAGTCGAGCGCCTTGAGCCGTCACCTCCTTTCACCTACTGTGGCATGGACTGTTTCGGCCCGTTCTACGTGAAAGAACGACGAAGCCAACTAAAGAGGTGGGGCATTGTCTTCATCTGCCTCGCCTCCAGAGCCGTACACCTGGAGACACTGAACTCGATGACAACCGACGCATTCCTGAATGCGTACCGAAGATTTGTGTGCAGACGAGGTCCCGTGAGAGGTCTCTTCTGCGACAACGGCACGAACTTTGTGGGAGGTCAGAACGCGTTGAAGGCTGCTCTCGCTGAGATGGATGAAGAGAAGATCAAGAACAGTCTACTGAAGGACCAGTGTGACTTCATCAACTTCACGTTTAACCCTCCCCACGCCAGCCACATGGGTGGGGTTTGGGAGCGACTGATACGCTGCGCTCGGTCAGTTCTGACCAGCCTGTTGGTCGCGAATGGAGAACAGCTGGACGATGAGTTGTTGCGAACGTTGATGTGCGAGGTTGAGGACATCCTTAACAGCCGTCCCATCTCCATAGCTGACATGTCCCCAACTAACCAGCTCGAGGCTCTCAGCCCGAGTTCCCTCCTGACCCAGAAGTGTAGAGTAGTCTTACCTTTTCCTGGTAGGTTCGCGACGGCGGACGTGTACGCCCGCCAGCGGTGGAGGCGAGTTCAGCATCTCGCGAACGTCTTCTGGAACCGCTGGAGGAAAGAGGTCGTCCTCGCTGCGCAGGAGCGCCGCAAGTGGACGAAAATGACGGAGAACGTCGAGGTCGGTGACGTCGTCCTCGTCATGGATGACGAGCGCCCACGCTCTCAGTGGCCGTTGGCGCGAGTCGTCAACACGTATCCGGGCAGTGACGGCCTGGTACGCAAGGTGCGCGTCCTGATGAACGGCTCGGAGCACAGAAGACCGGTTCACCGGCTGGTGACCCTGCTCCGTGCGGCACCTGGAGGCTCAGCTACGTGCACCGCCGAGTGACTGTGCACCGCCGAGTGACTGTTCCGTGCACCGCCGAGTGACCGTTCCGTGCACCGCCGAGTGACTGTTCCGTGCACCGCCGAGTGACTGTTCCGTGCACCGCCGAGTGACTGCTCTGTGCACCGCCGAGTGACTTTGCCCCGTTCACTGCGGCGTGACATTGCCCCGTGCACTATCGTGTGACTGCTCGGTGCACTGTCGGGCTACGGACCCGGCAGGTGATCACGTGTGCTTATGGTACTGTGATGAATTGAGCGCAAGATTCCCCGTCAAGGGAGCCAGAAGGACAAATTTGGTTGAATGTCCCAAATTTGGGGGAGCCATGTGCCCGCGACTCGATATTATTTGGTTGCGGTGATCGTCGTCGTGGCGGCGGCGAGAGTCGGCGCGGCGCTGGGCGAGAGTCGGCGCGGAGCTGGGCGCCGCCGTAATGGGTGATGCCCGATACTGATACACGTGGACCGCGCCAGACAGAAAGAGAGGAAAGAGTATGTTATGATTTAATTGATATTTATGGTTCAGTTATGACCTAAATAATGTATTGTTGTGTTACTGCATTCTTTTGTTACTGATTTATATTTATTTATCGTAACTTTGGCTGTGATATTTAGTGTGCTTTTTATGAATGAGCGCCATGATTGTAGTATCTCATGTGTTTACTCGACTGATTGTGTTATTTTTGTGTATTTTCAGTTTTTACGTAACCACCATTGGGCGAACATTAGAATATACCTGTAGGCAGCACTGAATCTTCTTTTGTGAGCCAGAACACACCTGGATAGAATATCTAACCTCCTTAGACAAAACATTGATTCTTATGTGTCAAAGGCACATGTGAACTGTGTAGGGATTGCATGGCCTGTAATTTGAATTGATATTCATTTGTAATTGAGATGTTCTTGGAATATGTTGTAGCTCATACAATTGTGAGAAGAATACTTTCTCAATCTTTGCCTAATATTACTTAACAGAGACAATTATACCTGGGCAGCTGGAGTTTTGAACACATGGAACTGTGGCGAGCTTGTGGTATTGAGTGTTGAAAAAAAACTTCTGGAAATGTTAGTTCATTATATTTTTTTTTTTAGCACATTAGCAGGGGAGCACAAATATGAAAGCAGAACTGAAGTTGTTCAACTAGTTTCCAAGTAAGGTCCCAAAAACCATTCTCTGAAGCGACATGGCTCGGCTGACCACCTATTGGCTTGAGGTTATTCTATTTAGCTGGGTTTTGTTCTTAGCATTTTGCTATGGCTATTTTTCATCCTGAATCCAATTATGAAGTTACCTTTTTATTTGCTCAATCACTGGTGAAAATAACTAAGTAGGTGGGGACTTGCAGCCTGCAAAAAGTAAAGAGTGGGGATATGAAAAAATTGGTGCTTACCTAATATGGATTTTTAGTACCTACCTACTATTCTTGCTACTCATGAACATAGAAGGATGAATCTGAAAGCGGAATTGGAATTGGTCAGTAGTTTTCAAGTAAAGTCCCCCAAACCAAGGCCGTATAAGAGAGGTAGAATCATCCCGCAACATCCAATGGACCGGTCGCTGAGCATTAGCGTGACGTCACTGGTGGAGACCGCGCGGCGGCCGGCTCCAGGCAGTAGGTACGGCGAGTACGTGTGGCATAGTAATTATTATTACTAAACGTAACAACAAATGGTTCTTAATTGCTTTTTACGCTCCTACAGTTGATTTCCTTGTCGGCATGTTGCCGACCCAGGTCCCAGGGTTGACAACTATGGGCTATGGATCGAATGGGTCACCTTGCGACGGGAGCAGGAACAATTGCATTGTGTTCCGCGACGCCAATTGCATTCTCTTTGCACCCAGTGGCGTAGCCAGGGGCAGGGGCACGTGCCCCATCGGATTCAGAGGGCTCCTCGGGCCCGAGAGGCATCGCGACGCCAATTGGCCGCTGAGGGTCCACGTTTGCAATCTTCCGTCTCAGAAGGGTCCATTGTTGGAATTGTCGTTTTCGGTTCTGGTCCTGGATAATTAAATCTGCCCGGAGAACCGGCCAGCTTTTTAAACTATCAACCGCAGCACCGGATGGTTACGTTACAGATGACCCTAAGTTGACCTCTGTAACCTGATGTCCCAATTGACCTTTGTGACCTCCAATAGAGCTCTGTGATGACGCCAAGTTGACCTCTGTGACCTGACGTGCCCCAGATGACATCCGTCACCTCCAATTGAGCTCTCAAATGACCCCAAGTTGACCTCTGTCACCTGACGTGTCCCAGACGACCTCCAATTGAGCTCTGTGATGACCCCAAGTTGACCTCTGTAATCCGACGTGTCCCAGATGACTTACGTGACCTCCAATAGAGCTCTGTGATGACCCCAAGCTAACCTCTGTGACCTGACGTGTCCCAGATGACCTCCGTGACCTCCAATAGAGCTCTTTGATGACCCCAAGTTGACCTCTGTGACCTGACGTGTCCCAGATGCCCCACATGACCTTCAATTGAGCTCGGTGATGACCCCAAGTTGACCTCTGTGACTTGACGTATTCCAGATGACCTCCGTGACCTCCAGTTGAGCTCTTTGATGACCCCAAGCTGACCTCTGTGACCTGACGTGTCCCAGATGCCCCACATGACCTTCAATTGAGCTCTGTGATGACCCCAAGTTGACCTCTGTGACTTGACGTGTCCCAGATGACCCCCATGACCTCCAATAGAGCTCTGTGATGACTCCAAGTTGACCTCTGTGACCTGACGTGTCCCAGATGACCTCCGTGACCTCCAATTGAGCTCTTTGATGACCCCAAGCTGATCTCTGTGACCTGACGTGTCCCGGATGATCCCCAATTGAGCTCTATGATGACCCCAAGTTGACCTCTGTGACCTGACGTGTCTCAGATTACCTCCGTGGTCTCCAATTGAGCTTTGTGATGACCCCAAGTTGACCTCTGTGACCTGACGTGTCCCAGATGACCTCTGTAACCTCCAGTTGTGAACCCCATTTCCAACTCACTTACCTCTCTGTGACCTCAAACTCTCTGAACTCATTTCTCCTAAAGCACCGCTTCTGGATACCCTATAGCCACGCATCTCCTGTGATCGATCCCAAATTTTATGCCAAATCACGTGAGCGTTAGCAACCACAACTCACCCAGTTGATACAAAGCTTCAGAATCAGGGAACATGCTTGACCTGGCTGTCTCATAAGCTCGCAAACCAGAAGGGCGAATGGTCCTTTATGCCTGATAAAGAGTTTCGACCTTACTGACGTTTACTACGGGATCAGCTGATCGTGTAGCATTTTAAATTCTTGAGTAAAGCGGGTATTTAAGCCTTGTCGCAGCTACGTTCTGTCGTATCCTCCGACAGGCGACAAGCCCCTCTTTCCTCAACATCCCTCCTTTTTCGCTACGACACATTTTGCGACGGAACACGTTTAGTTTTGTATTTAAATAAAAAATAAATATTTTACTTAAAAAATGACTGAAAAAGTGGGAGCCATGGCCGGCCGCCCCCCCCCCCCCCTGTTCCTATGCCTATGTGACAACACAACTTATAAAATGTGTTACTCTGACACGTTTCAAATGTCATGACTCATGATAGCAGTTTTTCATGACACAGGCTGGAAAGCTTAAAAGGTTTCGGGCGCCGGAGTACAAGTTTGTAAAGGAGAACAAAATCTTTTGGACCCGACTGGGACCAGAAAAAGGCCTCATTCACCGCTGTCTTTCACACAGGGCTCGCAAGAGCACCTCATGGGCTCGTAAATAGCCACACTAATCTGCATAAGAGCCCCACACCGGCTTCTTAGAGCCCTTTGTCGGCCTCTGAGGGCCCCTTGGCGGCCTTTGAGGGCCCCTTGGCGGCCTCTCAGGGCCCCTTGGTGACCCCTGAGGCCTGAGGGCACCTTGGCGGCTTCTGAGGGCTCTTTGCAGGCCTCCGTGGGCCCCTTACCGGCCTCTCAGGGCACTTACCAGCCTCTTAGGGTCCTTACTGGCCTATTAGGGGTCAGCAGCTTCAAGGGTCCCACACCCGCCTGTGGCCTCACACCAGTTTCTATGAAGGCCCCATAACGGCCACTGTGAAGGCTCCACACGGTGCCTCTAAGGGCCCCACACTACCACCTCTGAGAGCCCAACACTGGCACCCCTGAGGGCCCAACTAACAGTGTTTCTGAAGGTTACAAATCGGCGGCTCTGAGGGCTCAACACCGGCGCCTCTGAGGGTTCCTCACCTGCGCATCTGACGGCCACCCACCGGTGACTTGAGGGCCCCACACCGACGACTCTGAATTTTCATCAATTTGGCAACATATTCAGATTCAGATTGATATTCGATATTAAAGTGACCATCCCACCTTAACATTAGTTTTGAGTTGAGATAGCCTAGTTTGCGGCCAGGTTCAGAAACCACCATCTATCCTGGTCGCAACCCCCGCAGCTTCGTGGTGTTGAAGAAATTTGTTCCATTCAGTTGCAGAGTGGGACTAGCTTGTCCCTATCTCTTAACCATTAACAGACTCTGATGACGTCATGAGCCCTTTGAACGCGCCCTATGCTTTCAAGCAAAAATAAAAGTCTTATGTCAAAAAAAAACGGGTGAATATTTTTGGGTGAAACTTGGTAGATGTTTATTTTCGCTCTTTCTGATTCACGGTATATCACTTTTATGTCAATTCATTAACTTTTATGAAGGTGGGAGGGTCCCTTTAATGGTCTGCGGACTATTTAGAATTACTTAAAAACAATTTGACTATACAATTTGACCTTCCCAATTCAATGAGCATAAAATCTAAGCGCGGCACGGTCAATTTGCAGAGCGTTCCTTAGGTCAAAGTTAAGTGGGTCATGTACTGCGGACTATTTAGATTCCTTCAAAAATGATTTTGACTTCATTAATTTTAATTTCTAGCATAACTTATGCCAATGTTAAGCGCGGCACGCCCATAGGCGCGGGAGCCGGGGGGCAGTGGGGGCAGTTTGCCCCCCCAACTCTGGGGCCGTGGGGGCGGTGCCCCCACAGCTTTGAGACGGAATACCACACTTTTTTGCAAATGTTTTCTTTTTTTGTTGAAAAAGCCGAGGGGTGAAAAATAAGTGGTGAAAAATAAAAATAATAATAAAAAATAATAATAAAAAATAAAAATAAGTTCTCACCTAAAACCGGTGAGAAAACTAGATTTGGGGGTACCCTAGGTTGATCTCTATTATGGTGTGCCCCCCCAGTCGGAAAGAAGTTCCCGCGCCCCTGCCGCACGCCTCACCAGCGAAGTTTTCGTTGACTTCAAATACAAGTTCATTAGCACTTTACAGTTTAGGGACTATCTCAAATTTCGTAAAAATGATTTTGGTTATACCATTTTGCTATTAAGTCAATAAAAATAAAATGTTAGCCTGCCTCTGTCTTTCTGCCTCTGTCTGCCCTTCTCTGCCCTGCCCTGCCCTTCCCTTCCACTCCTGTCAGCTCCTGTCAGCTCTGCTCGCTAAGTCAGCTCTGCTTTGTCTGCTCTGCTCTGCTCTGCTCTGTCTGTCCTGCCCTTTATCATTCTTATTTATTCATGCCCTGCCTTTTTCCTTTGCATACCGTTCGCCGCCCGCTCTGTGGACGGCGCCCGGCTGCTGGGGCTCACCGAATGGGCTATGGAAGACGAACCCGGCGTCGTCGAGAGATTCGCCTTGTTAGCTGTGAAGGTGGATGTAACTCTATTTTTTATTGTTAACCTGATTTATTTAGATTTATTTATTTATATAAATCGTATTGCCATCATTAACGTGACTCATGGCTCGTGATTGTGGTTGCCTCAGTTGTAAGTCTTAAGTGTATCGCATTTTGACAGGTCTCGACGTGGCTCAACTTTGGAGCCAGCGTGTTGGGTCCCGGCTTCCCGCCATTCACCGGCGGACCGTTCCGCTTCGTGGACCGCATCGGCCCCGCACAGCTGGTCAAGGGCATTAAGCGCTTTGTCGCTGTCTACAGCGTCGGATTCGAGCTGGTCGGGCACAAGTCGCGCTCTCCACGTGACCGAGCCCGCCCTTAGGCGACCGATGCCCGCCAACCGGCCGCCGCGCGGACGGAGGTGACGCTGCCGGCCATCGAGCGGCTCATCGAGGCGGGCAACGCTCGGATCATCGAGACACTGGAAAAGAGACTCGCCCAGCAGGAGCGGAGAATAGAGATCCTCGAGGCAGAATGTCAGGAGACAGATGTCATGATGATCCGCCGGGAAATGACATCCCAGAAAGAGGAGACCAGGGAGCTTAAGGAAAAGGTCGACGGAATCAACAGAAACCGGCGCATGTCCTCACTTATCATCACGTGTGAGGAATTCGGTGACAGGAAGCCCGGGGAGGACATTGAGCTCATGACGGTGCAAGCGCTCAACAAGCGTTTCCCTGACTTGAAATTAACGACAGGTGACATCCAGGTCGCCCATCGTCTTCAGGGGAATGGTAAAGTGATCGCCAAGTTTGTCAAACGGACAGTGAGGGACGAACTGTTTGAGCAACGGTTCGAGCTGGCCGGACGGAGGGGCGGTGCCCGACCGGGCAGGTGGAGTGCGTCAGGTGGCTGGGAGATGGAAGCACTTTACCTCAGCGAGTCTCTGACACCCGAGTCCCAGCGCATGTACAATCTGCTACTCACTGCGCGTAAACAAGAATGAGGATCCAAGGTGGCATCAGTTTTTACCAGGAGAGGCTACGTTTACTGCAGGAAGGTGAAAGGCGGCGAGAACATCCGGATACAGGACTGGTGTCACCTTCAGCGCATCGTGCACACTGCATAGCAGTCCGGGTGGGTCGCCGGTGGCGGCGGAGGCGGCTGGCGCGCCGGGCGGCGGGCGGCCGGGCGGCCCGCCCGCCCGGGATCGGGCGGTGCCGCGCGGTTCCCGGCCTGCCCGTGAGGAGCGGAGCGCCGCCCGGCCGGGACCGGCGCCGCCGCTCTCCCCGGGCGGAGCTGCGGGGGAGCCGAGCCGGCGCACGGTAGCTGCTGGTGCACCTGCACCGGGTACAGGGCCGGAGGCGAGCAGCAGTGATCCGGTAGGTGCGACACGTGACCGATGTACGGCCGAGCGGACGGGTCGGGCGGGGGCGGGGCCGAGCTCGGTCGGGGGCTCCGGCTCCGGCTCCGGCTCCGGCTCTGGCTCTGGCCCTGGGCCGGCTCTGGACACTGTCCGGGACGACTGTCAGAGCTGTCCCCCGCTGAGCCGAGTAGAGTCTGGCTGTGATCCCCTCGCCACGGGGTGAATTTGAATGTATCGGGAAGTATTCACTCTAGAGAGGGGGCGAGTACACTCATGTCCGTTCGCTGTGTGATAAATGACGGCACTTCAGGTGCGTTCCTTGTCTGGCGGGGAGGTGTGCGGGATAACCGTGAGGTTTTGGGGCAGGGTTGATTAGTGTCACTTATAAGTGGGATAAGGGTGGCAAAATCGGCTGAGTGGGGAAGAAAGACTATGATCAGGGATTTGCCCTTACATGATAAATAAGTGAGAAAGTGCATTTAAAGTTATTACACGAATGAAAGTTTTGAACACCGTGCAATGTGCATTGTTAGTAGAAGTTTTCTCTTTCTTTTTCTCTTTCTGTTGCCGGCTACTCGTGCGGTCGGCTTGAACTGATTAAAGGTATGCACTTTCATTACAGCTATTCAAGCCAGCATAAAGTGTCCCGGAGAATCGAGATGGTAACGAGAATCGAGTTGGTAACGTTGATCGCCTTAGGAAATGACCAGTGGCTCATGCAGGTACCGGTAAATGTCTATTATCATTTGATTGTTCACCTGGAGAACGGTGACGTGTCACCCCGCAGACACTTGATGATGTGGGAAGCTTGAGAGAGCAGCGGTCTCGCCGCTTGCCGCCCGTGGCCCGCCCTTTGTGTGGCCCACATGTGATACTACCGAAAGGGTATGCATGGGAAGCAGCTCCGCGTGTGTGCCAGTGCTATGCGTATTCAGAGAAAAATATATATTCTGGGTGGTCAAGCTAGAGTTTTTGAAGAGGTATCTTAAGGGATCAATATGTTCCAATACTCGTTCTAATACTCCGAACACCCGTATGTGGTCCAAGAGTTGAGTTAGAGTGGGGAGGGGGGGGGGTGTTCACAGTTAAGCAGCCCCTCCAGCAGTGGTGCGTCCCGAGCGGGGGCGGTACAGACGCAGCTCGCCGCCCAGAAAACCGGAGACCACCACACCGGCCGGGCCGCCGAACGACAGACACGACACCGACTCCTCGTGGCCATGCAGCGTGCTGCCGGCGAGAGGTCACGGGCAGGTCAGCTCATAATGTACACGCAGACAAGACGGAGCAGACAGCAGAGCGGAGCAGAGCTAACAGGAGAGCGGAGCAGAGCTAACAGAGCAGAGTAGTGTAGAGCAGAGCTGACAGAGCAGAGCAGGGCAGAGCAGAGCTGACTTAGAGAGATGACTAACAGAGCAGAGGGCTGACAGAAGACAAGACACGCAGACAAGACAGCAGACAGAGCAGACAGAGCAGAGCGGAGCAGAGCCAACAGAGCAGAGCAGTGAAAAGCAGAGCTGACAGAGCAGAGCAGAGCACGGTATGGCAGGGCAGAGCAGAGCAGAGCAGAGCAGACTTAGATGACTTACAGAGCTGACAGGAGCTGACAGTCGACAGAGCTGACAGACAGAGCAGAGCAGACTTAGATAGATGACTTACAGAGCTGACAGGAGCTGACGTCGCCTTGGCACCGGCATCGAAGTTCCAGATCGCGTTGTGAACACAGTGTTAGTCCGAATGACTGGAAACTTTCAGTACCTATATGATACGAGTACAGGTATGGAAACCTGCAAAACTTTTATCTCAGATTTCTCCTTTTCGTGACCGCGGGTCAGGTCAATTTTTGACCCGCTCCCATGATAAGCCAATGGTAATTTTTTTTTGCACATAACAATCAGTGTAATACACGAATGAAAACGGCACCAATATGCTTTTCTCGTCACTCCGGATAGAATGATATGCAACATGACCTACTTTGACCTGACCTGACCACTGACTTGAAGTCAAACTGATATTAATCCTTGAAGGTCAAGTATTTTCGTAAAGTTATTTGTTAGCTCCACCGATAACCTCATACCACAAATGTCTTTACATAATCAGCAACTTTTAATAGTGTTCGTTCTGTTCGATTTGATGAGTAAAACATCGAAAGCTTTTTGCAAAATAGAATGTAGTTGGGTATGGGTTAGGCAAACAACACGAAGCAGATAGCCTCGGTTTCCTTTCTCTCTCGATCCGAGCATCGGTTCTTAGCAGATTGTCCCGTCAGTAAAATATCAACCTTTCTAAGCCCGGTATAAGCCCGATCCGCCGGAAACGCTTTGTAAGCATTCTGACCTTGAGTCATCTTGTCCGATGACCTAGGTAGTTATTTCACCACGGAGGGGCGTGTAAAATAGAAAGGCGTTGATGTCCACAAAATATCAAGAAACTTTAAAACCCAGGGCCTCGTCTAAGAGATTTTCACTGGGGGGGCCAGAGACTCGAGGAGCCAAACCTAGGGTACCCCAAATTCACTGTAAAAAAATCTTACAAGCCCCTTGTAGGAAAACCGCTGGCGCAAAAATGAGCATGCAGCGACGTGTAAAAATCGCCTCATATTTAGCTAGTAAGAGGGTACAAGCTTGTTTCGTTAGTAAATGACAAGCCCACGCCTCATAAACCGAGCGCCCCCGTGCCAGCCCCTCGTTTCCTTATTCGGTACCTCGTTTGAAAACGAGGGCAAAACCAGCAGATCGGTACGCCGATTAGGCTCCTTAGCAGGAATTGCCTGGTAACCCAACCAGCTAGCGCCTGCTATTGCTGCCCAGTAGTAATACTAGCTCAATTGCGTCACCCCCCCCCCCCCTCCTTCTCCCCAGCCGCCCCTCCGACTGGTGGACGACCCGGCCAACGACAGCCACGACAGCGTGCCAGCCACGTTACAAAAAAAAAACATACACAAAAATAACGTTTATTACTTATTAGCATACGATACAAAATATCTAAATATATACATATTACAATATCATAGCGGAGTGGTGCAAAAGCTGATTCGAGTCACCACCAATAACATTCACAAAATAATACGGTTGCATGAGACACGATCGGGCACTTCCACGGGCTTTGACGCAACGGCACTTACAACAGGCGAGTGAGCAAGTTGATCCTGCCATGCCAGGTACATTGTGCACTGTGCAGTCCATCAAATATTTGCCATACTTTGCAGATTCAAGCAAGTTTTTTTTTTCTGGGCGAGGCTTACCAACAGAAATATCGCTGGCTTCCGGTATACCTTCATGCCTCAGTCTCCCACAGCTTTAAGCAACTCTGCAAACAGAAAAGAAAATTAACTACTGATTTTAAAATATCAGTGAGGATGGCTTTATTATCTACATCAACTGACTTTTGTATAAGATAAATCAATGTGAGGCAATATATGTAGCTTACACATTTGGAAAAAAAAAGGCTAGACAGCAACTGAAAGAAAGTCCGTCTTCCAACAGTCGGAATTCAAACGAAACAGTGGCCCACAACGGTCAAGGGGTGAATTCTATGACGCAACATGTGTTCAGAATATTACAAAATAAATAAAATGTCCCCCATTGCTACGTAAATATCATACAATATAACGTACCTTCGAAATATCCCAGCCCGAGAACTTCACAACGCACCGTGCCACAACACAACCGCACCAACCGCCGGCAGCCGCAGAACTGAACAATGGCGGCCGGAAATGACGGCCCCGCGCCGGAAGTGAAGGACGCGTTTTAGAAGCAGTCTCAGACTCGTCGATGCTCACCGTAGCAGGGATTTATGAGGCACTACCGAATCAAAGTCGTTTCGCCTCATTCGGCAACACGAAAACCCTACCAGGACTAGTCCGATGATGAGTTTCCGACTAGGTGGCGTGTGCGCAGGATTATATTTAAAGCACGTGCAGGGCGGTGCCTCATTAGCCGACATAATAATAATATGACACGATAATGAAACACGCATGTAACTAGCATGCAACAAGCTTCTGGCGGATTTAATTATGAGACTATGCGTAGTTTTCCGACACAGCGCGAAATCTGTTGATAAGCAGGAAGGGGTGTTAGAGAAGCATTTAAGTTATTAGGTTACCGTTTGTAACCAATTGTTTCACGAGGCTACTCTTTAACTAACAACCCTCAGGCTGATAATGTCCCTATATATAACAGCAAGGTACAATGGACGACCGTGTAACCCACTCCTTGTCATAGAATTGGCTCGTGACATTTTTTACAGTGTTCAGTTTTCTCACCGGATTTAGGCCACTTATTTTTCATCACTGCCAGGGCCTCGTCTAAGAGATTTTCACTGGGGGGGGGGGCCAGAGACTCGAGGAGCCAAACCTAGGGTACCCCAAATTCAGTTTTCTCACCGGATTTAGGCCACTTATTTTTCATCACTGCCCTGAAAACTGATGAACTTTTTTTAACGCTAAATAAAAAAAAAATATAGTAGACCATCCGACTCATGCCTCTGCACTAGCTTATAACCCCCTCACATTGCCCCACCAGACAGTAATAATGATACAAAGAATGAAACCTTAGTTTTGGACCCGCTACACCTTTTTTAAGTCGGTCATTTGTTTACGATTTCAGCCTCTCATGAATGCATTACTGTTCGTAGGAGTTCAAATTTAACGACTTATTCCCGTTTATCTAAGAATCTTGCTACCGTTATGGCTATAAGGGAGCCATCACACATTTGTATGCGCTCCTGCTCCTCTGTTCGTGCAAGGTAGAGTTAAGAACGTTGAAATCAAGGAAATCAAATATTTTCTGAGAATAATCGAGCGAAATGGACAATTGACGCCCTCGAATGACCTGAACATTGATCTTATCTTAGCAATTTATTACGACAACATCGGCTTCTAATGGGCCCCGCCGGCTTATGAGCGTCAGGTGCCGAGCTCTGATGGCCATTGCCAGCTTCTGGACCCACGTTGGCCTCTGGTAGCCCACACTGGTCTTTCCGGTCCCCAGAGACAGACCACCAGGCTGAGCTTACGATCACCCAGAATGGGAGCCTGCTTCATTACTATAAGGATCTACTCTTACCGCACACCGCGCGGTGACCGTCCAGCCAGAAGTTCGACGTCGCGTAGTGAGGACGACGATAGGTAGAAAGAAACAACAGATTGACGCCCCGAGGACAGAAACAACAGGAGAATACGTGAAAGAGAATATGCGGACATGGAGTTAGGCCGCCTGAAAACCCGAAATGTAGCTATTGCTGAGCGAAAAAAGCAATGGTATCAGGTAAACAAAATGAACACGTGAAAACAGTGAGAGGTAATCGGGTATATCAATGTGCTCTGCAATGCATTGCATCCATGTTTCGTTTACGCATTTGTTTTCATGTGCACTGATGCCTTGCAGTAAAAATTCGTTTGCCTTTTCGCTTTTGCCGGCCCCCCCAGTAGTGACATTTTTATCCTGACTGGGGGGGCCAGGCCGGTGACTGCGGGGGCTTGGCCCCCCCAGTTAACATGTTAGACGAGGCCTTGTTAAAACCTGTAGGTAGTAGTTGGATAAACGTGGACAAATTAGGCTCCGCCCACTTGTCCACAAAATGTTCCTTTGTACCCGACCTCTGTCCATGGAATGATAAAAAATTCTTCTTTGTTATTTGAAGAGATTTGTGCACTCCTTTGGCATCAAAGTGTGGCCCATACTTCATTTAATGTACCATAGTAATATCTAGGGTCTCCTGAAAGGGGTTAGGGAAATATGCATGTAATTCTAAATGTCCATAAAATAACAAAAAATGCTTATGTCCACAAAATGTAAGAATACCAGTATGAGTGAGTCACAAAGTTACGGAATTTCAAGGTCATTCGGAGAGCCCCTCCGATTTTCGTCAAAATTTGTATGCGGACACATTACATGCTCCTCATTACGAATATCATAAAAGCTAAGCTCGGCCCGCACTATTTCAAAAGTTAGAGATGTTTGAA